AATCCTATTGAAGTATTCCAGGTAATTGAGAAAGATGAAACTCTCCCCAAATCATTTTATGAAGCTAACATCACATTGATATCCAAACTGGTAAAGAGCCAACAAAGAAAGAGAACTACAGGCCAATATTCTTGATGAACACAGATGCTAAAATTCTCAACAAGATTCTAGCAAAAGGGGATCCAATAACACATCTCAAAAATCATCCACCATGACCAAGTAGGCTTCACCCCCAGGGTGCAGGACTGGTTCAACATCTGTAAGACCATAAATGTAATTAAATACATCAACAGATGTAAAGACAAAAACCACATGATTATATCATTAGACATGGAAAAAGGTTTTGATAAAATCCAGCACACCTTCTTGATAAAAACCCTCGAACATCTAGGCATACATGGAACGTACCTCAAAACAGTAAGAGCCATCTATGAGAAACCCACAGCCAACATACTGCTAAACAGACAAATTGGAACCATTTCCCCTGCAAACTAGAACAAGGCAAAGATGCCCACTCTCACCTCTCCTCTTCAAATTAGTATTGGAAGTCCTAGCTAGAGCACTCAGACAAGAGAAGGAAATCAGGGGTATCCAAATAGGAAAAGAGGAGGTTATGTTATCCCTCTTTGCAAATGACACAATTCTATATCTCGAAAACCCAAAAGAATCTGACAAAAACCTCCTTGCACTGTTAAAGGACTTTGGCAAAGTCTTAGGGTATAAAATCAATGTGCAAAAATCAGTCACATTCCTATACACCAACAATAAACAAACAGAAACCCAAATAAAAGCCACAATCCCATTCACAATAGCCACACAAAAAATGAAATACCTTGGCATCTTCCTAACCAGAGAAGTCAAAGACCTTTACAACAAAAACTACAAAACACTGCTCAAAGAAATCAAAGATGACACAAACAAATGGAAAAATATTCCATGCTCATGGATTAGAAGAATCAACATTGTTAAGATGTTCATCCTACCTAAGGCAATCTATAGATTTAATGCAATATCCATTAAATTACCAGCAGCATTCTTCTCAGACTTGGAAATATGTAAACATAAATAACCACAAATAGCCAAAACAATCCTCAGCAAAAAACAAAAACAAAGTGGGAGGCATCACGCACCCAGACTTTAAGCTTTATTATAAAGCTACAATGATCAAAACAGCCTGGTATTGGTATAAGAATAGGCATATAGACCAATGGGACAGGATAGAGATTCCAGAAGCAAAACCTCAGTTTCTCTACCAACTCATCTCTGACAAAGCCTCCACCATCAACCACAGGAGAAAGGAAAACCTATTCAGTAAATGGTGCTGGGAAAACTGGCTGACCACATGCAGAAGATTAAACAAGACCCCCTACCTATTGCCATACACAAAGATCAACTCTAAATGGATCAAAAACCTAAACGTAAAACCTCAGACTATAAGAACCTTTGAAAATGCAGGAGATACCCTATGGAAATTGGAACTGGAAATGAATTCCTGGTCAAAACCTCAAGTGCCCATGCCATAAGAGATAAGATAGACAAGTGGGACCTCATCAAACTGTCAAGCTTCTTCAAAGTCAAGAAACCATTGAGAGAGCAGGGAGACAGCCCACAGACTGGGAAAAATATTTGCCAACTATATGTCTGATAAAGGTCTAAATCTATGATCTACAAGGAACTCGAATGTGCCAAAAAGAACAAAACAAACAGCCCCATTACAAAGTGGGCAAAAGATATGAATAGGCACTTCTCAAAAGAAGACATATAAGCAGCCAACAGATACATGAAAAAATGCTCGGCCTCACTAATCATCAAAGAAATGCAAATTGATACCACCTAACTCCAGTCAGGATGGCCATCACCAATAACTCAAAAAACAACAGATGCTGGAGAGGATCTGACGAAAAGGGAACACTTCTACACTGTTGGTGGGAATATAAACTAGAACAGCCTCTGTGGAAAGCAGTGTGGTGATTCCTAAAAGATTTGAAAATTAGGTTTCCATACGATCAAGCATTCCCCATTCTGGGAATATACCCAGAGGAACTCAAATCACTCTATGAAAAAGATACCGGCACAACGCATGTTTATTGCAGCATTATTCACAATAGCAAAAACATGGAACCAACCATGCTGTCCATCGAAAGAGGACTGAATTTAAAAACTGTGGTACATATACATGATAGAATATTATGCAGCCATAAAGAAGGACAAAATTATGAACTTTGCAGCAGCTTGGATGGATTTAGAGTCTATAATACTGAGTGATCTATCACAGAAACAAAGAACCAAATATCTAATGTTCTCACTCATAAGTGGACCTTGAACAGTTATCATAATACTACAAGAAAGCAATTGGCAGTAGTGGGAAACTGCCAGGGGAGAGGGGGGAACACACCTCATCAACAAGGGTACCTGCATAATGAACATTTGTGTACGTAACCCTGAATTGTACCCCTCGTATTTAAAATTACAAATTAAAAAAAAATCTCTCCAAAAGCAGAGCAAAAAGACAAAAATACAAAAAATAGAAAAGATAAAGAAAATCAGAGGATTGGTCCAGGAGGTCCAACATTTGACTAATAAAGATACCAGAAGGAGAAAGTAGAGAAAGCAGAGCAGTGGAAATTATTAAAGATGTAAGTAGGGAAAATTGGAGAACTTAGATTGCAGAGGTCCATTGAATGTGCTGGTTGTTTTATAGGAGGCAGTTACATGCATATTTCCTTTACAATAAATCATTAAACTCTATAGTTATGAATGTACAGAGTATGCACTTTTTCTGTGTATGTGTTATATTTCACAATTTTTTAAGTTAAGGAAAAAAAGATCCACCAAGTGCTCAACAGTGAATTAAAATAAACCCACATCACGACACATCATAAAATTTCAGGACTCTGAGGTTAAAAGAGCCTATAAGCTTCCAGAGAGGAAGGAAACAGATTTCAGAAAAAGGATCCAGAATTAGCATGGGGCCAGACTCAGTGGTTCATGCCTGTAATCCCAGCACTTTGGGAGGCAGGGGTAGTAGGATTGCTTGAGCCCAGGAGTTTGAGACTAGCCAGGGCAACATAGTAAGACCCCCAACTCTATTATAAAAAATAATAATAACAAAAATATTTTTAAAATAATTAGGTAAGAGGATTGCCTGAGACCAAAAGTTCAAGACTAGACTGAGCAACTAGCCAGACCTCCTCTCTACAGTAAATAAATTAGCTGGGCATGGTAGTATGCCTGTAGTTACAACTACTTGGAAGGTTGAGGCAGATGGATAGCTAATAAAGAAGAGGCCAGAGAATCAGGAAGAAAATGAGGAGAATATGAAGGATCCTGAAAACCAAGAGAATAGCTTGCTTCAAGAAGGAGGGTATGTTTAATAGATCAGGAAGAAAAGGAGTTTAAAGTATCCAGTGTATCTAGTGACATGGAAGTCACGTAACAAGAGCAACAATCTTTGTGTATTAGATTATCAAAAATTTAAAGGATTTATTTAGTTATCAGACTATAGAGAAATGGCACCATCATGTTGTCAGTATCAGTATAAACAAGCACTATGTTTTTGTTTTTGTTTTGAGTCAGGGTCTCATTCTGTTGCCCAGGTTGAAATACAGTGGCATGATCACAATGATACAGTTCACGAAGCCTCGACCTCCTGGGCTCAGGCTATTCTTCCACCTCAGCATCCCAAGTAGCTAGGACCACAGGTGCTCGCCACCACACCCAGTTAATTTAAAAAAAATTTTTTTTTACAGATGAGGTCTCACTAAGTTGCCCAGGCTGGTCTCGAATTCCTGGTCTCAAGCAGTCCACTGGCCTCAGCCTCCCAAAGAGTTGGGATTACAGGCGTGAGCCACTGCACCCAGCTGTAAACTAGCACTTCATTTTTGATAAGTAATTTGGGAACACCTATCAAACATAAAATACATATAACCTTTGATATAGAGATTCCTTCACATATTTATCCACAGAAAAACTTGTACGTGTGTCAAGCGAGTGCAAGAATGTTGATAGCTCTTCATGCGAAATTTGGGGCATGGGGAAGGAACTACATCTCTAGTAAGTGGGGACAGGATAAATAAATTTAATTAAATAAACATGTCCAATGGATGCCTATGTAGCTGCTTATAAATGAAGTAGCTATGATTGAACTACCATAGAATGGTATCTCTGTCATATTAAGTGAAAAAAGCAGAACATAGAGCTCCCATGTTTCCAACACTGTAGATATAGTAATAGCTATGAATACACCTTATAATATAATGACAATATAAATTTGTTTATAAATGCATAGATTAAAAAAACAAAAATAGGGAGGTAGGGAGTAGGGGCAAGGGTTTAAAACCACTTATCTGGTACAATGTTCACTGTTTGGGGAATGGAGACACCAGAAGCCCAACCCCCACCAATACACGCTATGCTTGTGTAACAAATATGCCCTTTTACCCCCAATCTAAAAAAAAAAAAGACAAAAGTATAAAAACTGTGAGAAACCGGGCTTGGTGGCTCAGCCTGTAATCCCACGCCTTTGGGAGGCTGAGGTGAGTGGATTGCCCTAAGCCCGTGGGTTCGAGACTCACCTGGGCAGGCAAGACTTCATCTCTACAATAAAATCAAAAAATTAGCCAGGCGTGGTAGCGCGCGCCTGTAATTCCGGCTACTCGGAAGGCTGAGGCGGAAGGATTGCCGGAGCCCGGAAGGTCGAGGCTGTGGTGGCCGGGAGCAGCCACTGCACTCCAGTCTGGGTGACAGAGTGAGACTCCAACTCAAAAAAAACCCAAAAAAACTGTGAGAGGTAAAAATCTATAAAATGGGATTGCGGGGGGCAAAGGAAAGCATTTGCATTTCTTCTAGTTGATTTTTTTAACCAAAAAAAGTATTATTTTTCTCAAGTGAAAGAATAAAAGAAAAAAGCATTTTTATCAAATTTTTAAGGAGAACATGAAAGGATGAAAGAATAAAACATCAGCTAAGGCATTAGAATGGTCAGTGGTCTGATGTCTTACCTTTCCGGAGGCAAGTTCTCACCATAGACTTTGCTGACAAAATCTGTTAACTGAAACTTTGGGCAAGATGCTGTGTCTTTCTCACAGTCTTCACAGTGCACAGACAGAAGCAGCTCGTTCAGAAGCAGTAGCACTTGTGGGTTGGCAATGTCCCTTGCCGAGCATGTGTTTAGAGCCGCATACAACACTGCCTCCAGCCACCTGATATTGAGGGTTATGCCCCCTACACGTCAACGAGAAGGTAATACCCATTAGCACCACCAAGAACCATCGCAGGGAACTTAGAACGAGACCCAGACAGTGACCAGCCACCTTCTTCCAAGACAGGTTGGTAATATGAACCACAAGGTAAGCAAACACTCCTCCTTCCTAGACCATGAGCCCCAAGCACGGCATGTGTTGACCATCCCAGAGGACACATATGACTAATGTAGACATTGCCAATGCCAAAAGTGTCTCTAGAATAGTCCTTGCTGATAAGGAGAAGGAACTGGGAAAACTGCAAGATTAGAACAGGGGAAAGCCATTCGAGTCCCAGACATCATATCCTCCTGTTGAAAGAATCTCTCTCCGCTGTGTTTCCAGCTTGTCCTCGAAAGGTCCAGAGAGTCAGGCTCCTCAGCATCCCTAATCAAGGCTGCTTCTTACTGCCAGACACTGTTTCCATACCAAACCTCAGTAGCTGAGAATATGCCCTCCCCATGTCCCCAGGGATGAACTTCACAGCAACCTGGATGGAATTAGAATTTATAATACCGAGTGATCTCTCACAGAAACAAAGAGCTGAGTATCACATGTTCTCACTCATAAGTGGACCTTGAACTACTGTAATACTATAACAAAAGGATTGACAGTGGCAGGAAACTGTGGGGGGCAGGAGCAGGGAGGTGGGATTGACAGTAGTCAAGATCTGCCTGGGGAGGGGGAGGCACACCTCATCAACAAGGGGAACTGCACAATGAATATTCGTATATCTAATCCTGAATTGTACCCCACAATATAAAAAAATAAAAAAAGATTGCAACAGGCCAAGGGTAAAGTGATTTTCAAAAGAATGACATTACCAGCAGAACTGTAGGGACAGGTGGCCTGAAGAATCATGGGATCTTGGAGAGCAGCCGTGACTTCCTTATTGGACCCCCAGATGTTGGCAAAACCTTCAACACAATGATATTGAGGCCGCAAGATATTGGTGTGGTTCAGTAGTAGTTTCAACCTGGAAGTAAAGCCACCAAGACATGGGGTGCAGCACCAGGACTGGAATAAACAACCACAGGGTCCCTTATGTCCACATCCCACCCAGCAACAGATGCCTCTGCTCAGCACAGCACTGCTCCAGGGCAAATGCAGGTCTGGGTCTGCACTGAGGGATAAGTGAGTTGGGTTGTTCGTTCACCCACCTAACAAATACTTATATATTGAATGTTATCACGTGCCAGGCACTGGGCTAGACACTAGGGGTACATAAATTATATTTGACACATGCTTTCCATAGCTCTTCATATTGTTAACGGGTGGTTTCCCTTCTCATCGACACACAAGGAAAACACTATTCAGTATTCAAGTCATGGGAGGCAATGTTCTATTATAGTTCTAAGCATTTGCATAGCAAAGAAAATGTCCCACCCACAAGCACTGTTTGTGGGTAAGTGGGAACGATACTATTAGAGACATTGTCTAGGTCCTTCCTGCTTATTACTGGGAATGACCAAGGCCACAGTGGAGGTGGGAGGCAGAGGTCTGCGATGAGGACCCAGAGCAGTTCTGCCAGCCCTGTTCTCACCCTAACAAGACACCTGGGTATTGGAACAGCAGCTACAAGGCTGTACACGATGCAGGTCTTCTCAAGGCTGGTTTGAATTTCTACACAGATATTGGGCAGCTGGGATGGCAGGCAGCAGAGGAATATCACGTCGGCCCAGGCCACCAGGTGAGGGTTTTGGTAAAAGCACTGGACCCCCAGTTTCTGGAACTCATCTGGGAGGGACAAAGGAAGACAGAAAGGGCACAGCACATGGAAGACATGGGAGTTCAACCTGAACATCAACTGTGGGGGAAGAGGATCACTATTTCCTCTGGGTAAATCAACCCAACTCTTGTTGCCCCATAAATCAGAAACCATTCCCACCAACCTTCAAGAGCCAAGCAGCAATGCCCTAAGTCCATCCCAAAATCAGCTGGTGCTGCTGTAGCAGTGCTTGAAATTATGAGATGATTCATCTTTATCTAACTTTTAGACCAAATGCTAGAATTTTTCAGTCTTTCTTTTTTTTAGGAAGAAAAAAACTCAGTCTTTTACTCCAATTTACTGAGGCATAATCATATGTGCCAGATAACGTACAAAGTCCTTTACGCACATTATCTAAGGTAGTCCTCACAGGGACCCTATGAAGCACACACTAGTATTTTTCCCATTTTATAGATGAGGAAACTGAGGACTTAAGAGGTACGTGACTTATCCAAAGTTACACCACTACTGGCTTGAGTTGGTGGGAAAGACTAGGAGAATGGAAGAGTGTAGAATAGAGGCTGGGAGGATTTTGGAAAGATTGAACAGTTTCTGTAAGGTATATCCAACTTATTGTTAATAGGCTATTTATAAATGAAGACAGAATGTGATAACACATGTAGTTGCAATAAAAACACTCACTAGTCCAACCTGGGGAACTTGGCAAAACCTCATCTCTACAATAAACAAAAAAATTATCCGGGCATGGTGGTGCATGCCTGTTGTTCTGTTACTTGGAAGGCTGAGGCAGAAGGATCACCTGAGCCCAGAAGGTCGAGGCTGCAGTGGCCGTGAGCATGCCACTGCACACCAGTCTGGGTGACAGAATGGGACTCCAAACAAAACAAAACAAAAAACACTCACTGGAAGTTAATCGTTTTGTGGTGTGTGTGTGTGTGTGTGTGTGTGTGTGTGTGTGTGTGTGTGTGTGTGTGTGTGTGTGTGTGTAGGGATAGGGGTCTCACTTTGTTGCCCAAGCCATTCTCAACCTCCTGGCCTCCAGCGATCCTCCCATTTTGGCTTTCCAAAGTGCTGGAATTACAGGTGTGAGCCACTACAGCCAATGGGGTAATCATTTGATATTTATTGCAATACTGATTTTCAAAAGTAAGAATTTTAAGTGTATACTCACATCTGGTGGAATGTTTTAAATGTTATTGGAAAACAATATGTCACATGTTGGCAAGTGAGTTTTTGTTTTGTTTTTTGTTTTTTTGAGTCGGAGTCTCACTCTGTCACCCAGGCTGGAGTTGCAGTGGCACATTCATGGCCACTGCAGCCTTGAACTGCTGGGCTCAGGCAATCCTTCCACCTTAACATTCCAAGTAGCTGGAACCACAGGTGTGCACCACCATGCCTGGTTAATTATTTGATTATTGTAGAGATGAGGTCTCGGCAAGTTCGCCAGGCTGGTCTCAAACCCCTGGACTCAGGCAATTCTCTCACCTCCACCTCCCAAAGTCCTGGGATTATAGGCATGAGCCACGACACCTGGCAGCAAGTAAGTTCTTAACCACTGAAAGTACATGGAGGCCAGTTATGGTGACTCACACCTGTAATCCCATCATTTTGAGAGGCCAAGATGGGGGAACATAGTGAGACTTTGTCTCTAAAAAAAATTTAAAAACTCACTGGGCGTGGTGGCATGCATGTAGTTCCAGCCACTTGGGAGGCTGAGCTGAACCCAAGAGGTTGAGGCTATGGTGAGTCATGATTGTGCCACTGCACTCCAGCCTCGGTGACAGAATGAGACCCTAAAAAAAAACAAAAAACTCTAGAGGAATAAAAATTTGTGTCCTACCAAAAAAAAAAGTACATGGCAAAAGTACATGGCAAATGTGTTGCTGAGTTATCTGGATTCTCATAAACCTGGCAGATGGGCAAAGACTGAGTTTAGAAGACAAGCACAGGCCAGGCTCAGTGGCTCAGCCTGTAATTCCAGCACTTTGGGAGGCTGAGGTGAGTGAATTGCCTGAGCCCACAGGTTCAAGACCCACCCGGGCAGCTTGGCGAGACCTCGTCTCTACAATAAATCAAAAAGTAGCTGGGCATGGTAGCACACACCTATAGTTCTGGCTACTTGGAAGACTGAGGCGGAAGAATTGCCGGAGTCCAGCAGGTCGAGACTGCAGTGGCTGGGAGTATGCCACTGCACTCCAGTCTGGGTGACAGAGTGAGACTCCAAATCAAAAAAAAAAAAAGAAGACAAGCACAGCCATCATTCTTTTCATGTGCATGCAAGCTGACACTGAGCATCTTGCATTACTTCCTTATGCAACACACAGTGATATATTAAAGCTGTGATTTTATTCTAATAAATATATTGCGTCCCAAAGAATATACTTTGTGCTTTATTGAAATATCACATACACTAGTCCTATGGATGGGATTAAGAAACATGCCTTGAAGGCCAGGCCCTGTGGCTCAGCCTGTAATCCCAGCACTTTGGGAGGCTGAGGAGAGTGAATTGCCTGAGCCCACAGGTTTGAGACCAGCCTAGACAACTTGGTGAGCTCTCATCTCTACAATAAATTAAAAAAATTTAGCCAGGCATGGTAACATGTGCCTGTAGTTCCCGCTACTTGGAAGGCTGAGGTGGAAAGATCACTGGAGCCCAGCAGATTGACGCTGGGGTGACCATGAACGTGCCACTGCACTCCAGCCTGGGCAACAGAGTGAGACTCCTACTCAAAAAATAAAAAAGAAACATGCCTTGAATGATAAGAGTTTTTTAGTTTAATATAAAAAAAAAAATTACAAGGCTGGACATGGTGGCTCATGCCTGTAATCCCACAACTTTGGGAGGCCAAGATGGGAGGATTGCTTGAGGCCAGAAGTTCGAGACCAGCCTGGGCAACAGTGAGACTCTGTCTCTACAAAAACTTAAAAAATTACCTGGGCATGGTGACATATGCCCATTGTCCTAGCTACTAAGGAGGCTGAGGTGGGAGGATGCGCTTCAGTCCAGGAGTTCAAGGTTACAGTGAGCTATGATGCCAGCACTGTCCTCCTGTCTGGGCAACAGAGCTACACCTTGTTTCTTAAAAAAAAAAAAAAAAAAGGCTGGACTTGGTGCTTGGTGGCTCACACCTGTAATCCTAGCATTTTGGGAGGCTGAGGCAGGAGATTGCTTGGGCCCAGGAGTCCAAGACCCGCAACACAGCAAGACTTTTTCTCTAAAAAAATTCTAAAAAATTAGGCATGATGGTGTCCACCTGTAGTCCCACCTACTTGGGAAGCTGAGATGGAAGGATTGCCTGAACCCAGGAGGTCTAGGCTGCAGTGAGTCATGACGGTGCCACTGTACTCCACCCTGGGCGACAGAGTCAGACCCCAACTCAAAAAAAAGAAAAAGTCTCCCAGCACTGAAAAAGGTGTCGTGAAACGGGTGTTCTTATACAATGCTGGTTAAACTTTATACCTGAAAACTTTTTTTGATGTCAATTTGCAAAAATAGATTAGAAGTTTCTTCAAAAATTAAACATGACCCAGCCATTTCACGACCAGGTATTTACCCAAGAAAAATGAAAGCAGTTGCCCACATGAACACTTGTATACAAATATTCATAGCAACTTTATTGGTAATAACCCACACCTGGAAGCAACCTAAGTCAACAGATGAATAAGCTGCAGAATAATCATGTGATGAAATACCATCTGGAAGTTGAAAGAATTTGGATATGAAAAGTTTTTACATGAAAAAACTTGGATATATTTCGAACTAATTATGCAGAGTAAAAGAAGTCAGCCCGGAAAAAAAAATACAAAAAACCTGCAAACTGTATGATTCCATTTATATAAAATTCTAGAAAATGCCAACTAATCTCTGGTGTCAGATGAGATCATTGGTTTCTTGAGTAGGGAGCAGCAGGGAGGTAGAGAGAGACGCTCACACACATCAAGAGGCAACTCTGGGGAGCGAAGGGACGCGTTCATTACCTGGATGGTGTTGCTGGTCTCACAGGTGCAAGTGTGTCAAAACATCAAATTGTATCCTTTACTTATGTGCAATTTACTGTATTCAAATACTGTTTTAATAAAGCTGTACCTATTCTTTGACCTAATAACTTATTTTGAAAAGTATGTACAAGAAAGTTCAACTAAATAAGGTACAGTTAAAAACATTATGTGTATTATATACATTATGGTACCTCCATACTTCAGAATACTATACAACCTTAAAATCTTTTTTGTATTGAAATTAATCTCATACTGATATAATTATATTGTAGGCTGGGTGCAGTGGCTCACACCTGTAATCCCATTACTTTGGGAGGTGGATGTAGGGGGTGGGGAGGGGGGGCGGGAGCAGATTGCTTGAGATCAACCTGGCCAATATAACGAGACCTCATCTCTACAAAAAAATATAAGAAGTTAGCCAGGTGTGGTGGCGCATGACTGTAGTCCCAGCTACTTGAGAGGCTGATGCCAGAGGATCACCTTGGGCCTAGGAGTTGGAGGCTACGGTGAGCCATGATCATGCTACCACACTCCAGCCTGGGCAACAGAGTGAGACCCCCAACTCAAAAAATTCAGTAAATCTTATTTTTAAAAATATAAGACCAAATGCAATAGTTTGGAACTGCTTAACACCCACCAGACTCTAACTGGTTCAGTTAGAAGATTTGATCCCTATATGGAAAGCCTCCCTGTGTCAAAGGCCCAGAAAGATAATTCACCACTGAGGGCACAGGGAGGAGAAATGGATATAAAACATGCAAATGGAGGAAAAAGTTGTTTTAAGGCACAAGGTAGCAAGCTATCTTTCTAACTTTTCTCAGGGCTACTAAACTGAGAGCTCAGCAGGCCATATGCAAGGATTCCTCTTGGAGCGAGAAAGGGAGGAACAGACCTATTCATTTATTTATTCATTGAGTTGGGGTTTCACTCTGTTGCCCAGACAGTTTATCACAGTCTCAGGCTACTGGGCTGAAGGAATCCCCCTCCTCAGCCTCCCAAGTTGCTGCAACCTCAGGCATGTGCCACCACGCCTGGCTCATTTTTTTGTTTTTTCATAGAGATGATGAGGTCTTGCTATGGTGCCCAGACAGGTCTTGAACTCCTGGGCTCAAGCAATCCTTGCGGAGAGGGGCCCTTCTAAAAGGACTTCACCACATCCAAACAGCACAACCAAGCCCCCTTTCAATCACACACTGCTCCTCACCCAGGGCCTCTGGCCTCCGAGTGGAGATCCTCAGGCTCTCAGCAGGGACGGGGACAAGTTGCATCAGTGTGCGAGCCAGCTGCTTCCCAAGGTGGCCGCCTCCAATGATGCCCACCTTTAACTCCTTCTTGTCAGGAGTGGCCAAGTTCAGTGATCCACTTGAGAGACATCTGGAAGTTTGATTCTTATGTAATAAGTCTCTGGAGAATGAATAGATACATACATACATAGATGCACGCACACACTGTAGCTCTTAACTGTCAACCTCAGATATTCTCTGCTCTTTCTTTTATACAGCAAACGTGGTTTTGATGGTAATTTTGTTATATATATCTTTTTACCATGATGAAAAATACATACCACCTTGCAAAACTGAAACTCTACTCCTTTTGAACATGTCTTTTCCCTCTCCCCTAAGCTCTGGAACTACTGTTCTATTTTTTGTTTCCATTTAGCTATTTAGGTACCTTATCTAAGTGGAATCATGCAATATTTGTCTTTTTGTGACTGGTTTATTTCACTTCGGATAATGTTCTCAAGCTTCATCCATATGAATTTTGGAAGTTTTTGTTCTATTTATACAAAAATTTAAAAAGCCATTGAGATTTTTCATAAGAATTGTACTGAATCTGTAGATTGCTTTGGGTAGTATGGACATGTTAATACTACTAGGCCTTCCAATCCATGAACATGGGATGTCCTTCCATTTATTTGTTTCTTCCTTAGTTTTTTTCAGCAATGTTTTATAGTTTTCAGTGTACACATCTTTCAAGGTTTATCACTAAGTATTGTATTCTATTTGATGGTATGGTAAATGGAATTGTTTTATTAATTTTCTTTTCAGATTGTTCATTGTTAGTGTACAGAAATGCAAATAGTTTTTGTATGTTGATTTTGCATCCTGCAACTTTGCTGAATTGTTTACTAGTTCTGGACAGTGCTTTAAAATAAAGTCCTTAGGGTTTCACATTTAAGATCATGTCATTTGTGAATAGAGATAATTTTATTTCTTCCCTTCCAATTTGGATGTCTTTTCTGTATTCTTCTTTTTCTTGCCTCATTGCTCTGGCTAGGACTTCCAGTACTATGTTGAATAGAAGTGGTGAGAGTAGGCATCCTTGCCTTGTTTCTGGTGTTTGAGAAAAAGCTTTTAGCTTTTTTTTTTTTCAATCACTGGGTATGATGTTAGTTGTGGACTTTTCATATACAGCCTTTATTGTGTTGAGGTAATTTTCCTCTACTTCCAGTTTGTTGAGTGTTTTTATCATGAAAGGGTGTTAAATTTTGTCAAATGTATATTCTGCATAAATGTAAATGATCACATGACTTCTGTCCTTCATTCTGTTAATGTGGTGTATTTTATTGATTTTGTGTGTTGAATCATCCTGCATTCCAGAAATAAATCCCACTTGGTTATGGTGTATAATCCTTTTAATGTTGTTGAATTCATTTTGCTAGCATTTTGTTGAGAATTTTTGGCATCAATATTCACCAGGGGTATTGGTCTGTAGTTTTCTTGTAATGTCTTTGTCTGGTTTTGGTATCAGGATAATGCTGGCCTCATAAAATGAGTTTGGAAGTGCTGTTTTCTCCTCTTCAATTTTTTTTTTTTTTGGAGGGTTTGAAAAGAAGTGGTGTTAATTCTTTAAATACTTGGCAGAATTTTCTAGTAATGCCGTTTGGTCCTGGGCTATTCGTGGGAGGTATTTTGGATTGCTAATTCAATCATACTAGTCATAGGTCTGTTCAGACTTTTAGTTTCTTCATGATTTAGTCCTGTTAGATTACATGTTTCTAGGAATTTTTCCATTTCTTCTAGGTTTTCCTGTGTTGCTATATAATTGTTCATAGTTGTCTCTTATGATCTTTCCTATTACTGTGATATCAGTTTTAATGTCTCTTCTTTCATTTCTGATTTTTTTATTTTTATTTTTTGAGTTGGAGTCTTGCTCTATCATCCAGACGCAGTACAGGGGCACAATAGCAGCTCACTGCAGCTTTGGCTTTCTGGGCTCAGGCCCTCCTGCTTCAGCCTCCTGAGCAGCTGGGACTGCAGGCAGATGACACCATGCTGGCTAATTTTTTGATTCTGTAGAGCTGAGGTCTCACTAGGTTGCCCAGGCTGGTCTCAAACTCTTGGGCTCAAGCAACCCTTCCTCCTCAGCCTCTCAAAGTTCTGGGGTTATGGGAATGAACCACTGAGCCTGGCTCATTTCTCATTTTTGTTATTTGATTCTTCTCTTTCTTAACTAGTCTAGTAAGGGTTTGTCCATTTTGTTGATCTTTTTTTAAAAAATAGCTCTTATTTTTTCCTATTATTTTTACATTCTCTATCTTGTTTATTTCTGCTCTAATTACTTCCTTTTGCTAACTTTGGATTTAGCTTGTTCTTCTTTTTCTAGTTCCTTGAGGTGTAAAGTTAGGTTGTTGATTTGAGATCTTTCTTCTTCTTCTTCTTTTTTTTTTTTTGAGTTGGAGTCTCACTCTGTCACCCAGACTGGAGTGCAGTGGCCGTTTCCGGCCACCGCAGCCTCAATCTGCTGGGCTCCAGTGATCCTTCTGCCTCAGCCTTCCGAGTAGCTGGAATTACAGGCGCACGCTACCACGCCCAGCTGATTTTTTTGATTTATTGTAGAGATGAGGTCTCACCTGCCCAGGCGGGTCTCGAACCCACGGGCTCAGGCAATCCACTCACCTCAGCCTCCCAAAGGTGCAGGATTACAGGCTGACCCACTGAGCCTGGCTCTTTCTTCTTTTTTAATGTTGGCATTACCCCTATAGACTTCCCTCTCAGTACTCCTTTTGCTGCAACCCATAAGTTTTGACATGTTTGTTTTCATTTTCATTTGTCTCAAGATATTTTCAAATCTTCCTTCTTCCTTGAACCATTGGTTATTCAGGAGTTTGTTAATTTCCACATATTTGTGAATTTTCCAGTTTTCCCTTTGCTATTCATTTCTAGTTTCATTCCACTGTGGTTAAAAAAAAGGTAGGTGGTATGATTTGAATCTTCTCAAATTTGTTAAGACTTGTTTTGTGATTTAACATGTGATCTATCCTGGAGAATGTTCCATGTGCACTTGAGAAGAATGTATATTCTGCTGCTGTTGGGTAGAGTGTTCTGCTTTTATCTGTTAGGTTCCAATTGATCTACTGTGTGGTTCAAGTTCTTCGTTTCCTATTGAACTTCTATCTGGTTGTTCTAACCATTATTGAAAGTAAGGTATTACAATCTGCTACTATTTTTTATCCAGTCCAGTTTTGATGGGCAGCACAGTTGGTTCCATGTTTTTGCTATTGTAAATAATGCTGCAATAAACATGCATGTGCAGGTTACAAAAAAAATATATATACACACACACACACACACACACACACACACACAGTCTGCTACTATTTATTGTGTGCCTTCAATTCTGTCAATATTTGCTTCATACATTTGAATTCTATGATGTTAAGTACATATATAATTGTTATATATTCCTGGAGATCTTTTAATCATCATATGATGTCATTCTTTGTCTCTCATGACAGTTTTTGACTTAAAGTCTATTTTGTCTGATACAAGTATGGCTACCTTTGCTCTTTTTTGGTTACCATTTGTGTGGAATAGCTTTTTCCAGCCTGTGTATGTCCTAACATCTGAAACGAGTCTCTTGTAGACAGTACATAGGTTGGACCTTGTTGTTGTGCTTTTTTAAAATCCATTCAGTCACTCTGTGTCTTTCAATTAAGGAGTTTAATCAATTTACATTTAAAATAATTATTGATAGGAAAGGACTTACCACTGTCATTTTGCTGTTTTCTATATGTCTTGTAGTTATTTTGTTCCTCTCTTCCTCACTTGCTCCCTTTGTGTTTCACTGATTTTTTTGTAATGACATAATTTGATTCCTTTCTTATTTTCTTGTGTATCTTCTGCTGGCATTTTCTTTGTCATTACCATAAGATATTACATAAAATCTTAGAGTTACAACAACCTGTTTTAAATTGATAACAGTTTAACTCCAATCACAATCATAAATTCTACCTTCTTTATCTATTCCACCCTTTTAACTATTTTTTTGTGATCTCAAAGGACCACGAAAATCTCCTGACTTTGGTACAGAACAAATCATGGATTAGTGGTGATTTCCTTTAGTGAATGGATACAAGTGGATGTCATTGTGATTTTTATTATTTCTATTGATGTCACAAATCATATCTTTTCTATTTTGCATCCATTAATATAAACAGTACTGATTATTTTAAGCGTTTATCTTTTAAATCCTATACCAAAATTAAAAATAATTTAGGCACCATCCATTACAGTATTATAGGACTATGTATATGCCTATATCTTTGTCTTTACCAGAGAGTTTTATATATTTGTATACTTTTGTGCTGTTGTCTAGCATCTTTTTGCTTCAAACTTAAGGACTCCCTTCAGCCTTTCTTGTCAGGCAGGTTCAGCAGTGATTAACTGTCTCAGCTTTTGTTTATCTAGGAAGGTCTTTATTTTTCTTTCGATTTTTGAAGGATGGTTTTGCCAGTTTTTCTTTCAGTACTTTGAATATATCAAAGTACTCCCTTTTAGCCTGTAATGTTTCTGCTGAGAAACCCATCGATAATCTTATGGAAACTCTCTTGTGTGTAACAAGTTGCTTTTTTTCTTGCTGCTTTCAATATTCTTTGTCTTTGACTTTTGACAGTTTATGTCTCTGTGTGGTCCTCTTTGGGTTCAGTCAAGTTGGAGTCCTTTGAGATTCTTAAATTTGGATGTTCATTTCCTTCCTCAGATTTGGGACTTTTTTGGCCATTATTTCTTCAAATAGGCTCTCTCTACCTTTCTCTGCTTGTCTTTTCCTTCTGAGATTCCCCTAATGTGTGTATTGGCTCACTTGACGGTGTTCTGTAAATCCCTTAGACTTTCTTCAGGATTTTTTCTGTTCTTTTTGCTCCTCCAATTTGATAATTTCAAATGACCTTTGAGTTCACTGATTTTTTTTCTTCTGCTTAATCAAGTTTGATATTGAACCACTCTAGTGATTTTTTTTTCAGTTGTGTTCTTTAGCTCCAGCATTTGTTTGGTTCCTTTTCATAGTTTTTCTCTTTATTCATATTCTCATTTTGTTCATGTATTGCTTCCCTAATTTCATTAAGTTCTTTTTTTTTTTTTTTTGAGTTGGAGTCTCACTCTGTCACCCAAACTGGAGTGCAGTGGCCACTCCCGGCCACTGCAGCCACAACCTGCTGGGCTCAAGCAATCCTTCTGCCTCAGCCTTCCAAGTAGCTGGAACTACAGCCATGTGCTACCATGCCCGGCTAATTTTTTGATTTATTGTAGAGATGAGGTCTCACCAAGTTGCCTAGGTGGGTCTCAAACCCATGGGCTCAGGCAATCCACTCACCTCAGCCTCCCAAGGTGTGGGATTACAGGCTAAGCCACCAAGCCGGCTCATTAAGTTCTTTATCTGTGTTCTCTTGTAGCTCATTAAGCCTAAGATTATTATTTTAAATTTTTTGTTAGGTAGCTCATAGTTCTGTTTCTTTAAGATTGTTTTTTGGAGATTTAGTTTGTTCCTGTGATTGAGTCATGCTTTACTGTTTCATCATATGCCTTGATATTTTTTGCTGGAACTTGGGAATTTGAAAAAACAGTCACTACCTCTCCCAGTCTTTACAGACTGGTTTTGTACAGGGGAAGACTTTTACCAGTCAGTCCAGCTATAGATCCTGGGACCCTCTTCAAGTCTTTTCTGGGAATATGTCCTCTCAGAATGTATATTTGCAATTTTCCAGTTAGAGAGGTTTGCCTGTTTCTTTTGCAGGGACTCATAATCTCTTGCTCTATCTGGTATCTATCTGCAGTACTGCAGGTTCTACATGCTGCAACAAACCACTGAGTTTTTCTTTGTTCTCATCCAAAACATGTTGGTTCTTTGTCATTTGACAATCATTTGACAAAAGCCAATCCCTCAGACAGCCTCTGAGAAGTTGGAACATTAGACATATGCTCCACCTTTTTTCTTTCCCTCCAAGGGAGAAGTCACAAATGGAGGCATTTTCTCCTGAACACTGAACTGTCTCAGGTGAAGTGCAATGGCTTTTCTTGCTCCTTTAATGATCCTGTTCTTGGCTTTGTACTTGCTTGGGGTACTGCAACTTTTTCACTGGTTCCTGAAGTTTTCATAAAGGCTTTTGGACCATATAGTATTATTAAGTTAGTATCTCTGTGGAGTTACAAGGTGTGGAGCTTCCCATTTCTCCACCTTGCTGATGCCACTCTCAGACAACCATCAGTTTTCATTCCTATTAGGATGAGGGTATCTCTCTCCTACCATATACCTACTCTTTCTGGTTTGCTATTTCAATTGTGCACAGACTTGGGAAACCAGATAACTTAGCTTTTTAAGAATGTTATTACTTATAAAAGTAAATGGTTTATAAAAACAAAACAGACTTGAAAAATTGAAGATGAAGGATGTTAGACTACTCTTTCCAGAGTTTCACACACTACTGGAACTGGATATATTTCTTTTGGCTTAAGTTGAACAAAGTCAGATCTCTGCATACTTAAAGTATTACTTTTGTTGTTATAAGACAGACATATTTCTTCTGTATTTCTGTAAAAATCAGCCTTAAAGCTCTGGATTTTTAATTTAAGCATCACAAGTCACAATCTATTTAAGGCTTCTCTCTTGGTTGAAAGAAGAGCACTTTTTATTAGTGCCTGATCCTTTCAAACATAAGATCCCACCTACAAATTTAATATATTGTTTTCTCACCAGTCATCTTGGGTACAGCCAATAGGTTTCTAAACCTTTGTCAGTAAAGCCCATCAGCAAACTCATTAAACAGGCTACCTCCTCGGGTGTTTGCTGTATCTATAAACATGTTCAATTCAGATCTGGCTCCACTATCCAGGAAATAACCTAAGTTCAAAGAAAAGTAAACTGAGAAGTAGAGTGAGAAGGTAACTCCAGAATTACCCAGAGTTACAGGATTCAGGAGGCTAATTCTAGGTAACTGGCTCACACTCACTTTCTATTTAAGTGTCAGAAACCACATTGTAGAAAAATATTAGAACAACTGGACCCAGGACTTCTCTGCAAATCAACATTCCTGGTTTCAAGTAAGTCACCTGGCATAAGGACTGCAAAATCTCAGGTAGCTTTCCTTTGAGGGAGCATTCCACCATTAGCTAAGCCCCCAAAGAAAGAACTGACTGTATTTACATTCCTTGCTAATAGGCAAGGAATGCTAGTCACTAACAGCTGTAGAGGACAATCTGGTAGTCCTGATGAATGAGTGGATGAATGATCATTTAACCAATTCATCCACTAAAAGGCAATCACCACTAATCCATGCTTTTTTATGTAACCACAGTCAGAGGATTCTGGTATGGATTTTCCTGGTTCTTTGAGATCAGGAGCAATTGACTCTAGGTTGGAAAAGGTAACCAAACTTATCCTTCAATATAAAAAGTTTAGGCCACTTGAACTAGCAGATGCTTGCCCATTTTCTTGAACTTGGAAACCTAGCTTACCTCAAATTCCGTAAGAGTTTGCAGAAGAAGGTTGCATGGGCACAGGCCTCGACGATCAGTCCCCGAGAACGGCCCAGCAAATATAGCCATATATGATCTTCCTCTGGAATCCCAGATTCAAATTGCAGGGACTTAAGGTCCTCTAGCATGTCCATTCCAAGCCACCATCTCCTGCAGTGACAGACACTAGTCAATTTGGCTTCCTGTCCTGGAAGAAGAGGGGTCTGTGCAGGAGGGCATGTGTATGATGGAATGTATGCCCAGGTCACAAGCACTCACGATGGTGGGCTTTGGCACCTCTCTTCTTACACTTTCTGAACTTGGAGTTCAGTCTCCCTTAGAATGTGGGTCCTTAAGAATTTCTAATCACTGACTGCCCATGAATCCTGGACTCATGAAAAATCTGAACAGAAACCCAAATAATATTTCTCCACACAGGCTACAGGCACATTTTTCTGTAGATGAATTCACATTAGCAATGGGTTTTTATAGTGTTCTTAGGCTAGGACCATCTCCATTCCATTCCCTCCTAGGTTTTAGAAATCACAGGACTACATTTCAAAGAAATTCTTCCCTGTCACTAAATTCTGTGTTCCCCACAGGGTAGAAAAAGGTCCCAACTAAATATCACTGATTCCTTGTCGAGGGCAGGGGCATCTAGATTCCACAAAATCAACCCAGAGATATATAAACCTATCTTTAAACATCGGTCACCAACCACAGATTGGCTCCACTCCTCAGTACTTCTGGTCCTGAGTGGTAAGGACTACATTTCTAAGGAGAATTGCCTGAGAAGCTTGTCATTATGACTCCTTAGCTACCAGTCTCTGAGTCTTAAAGGAGCCAGCTCCACTTTTCCTGACCTGAACATGAGAACATGAGTTACTTCTGTGGAACTTCCAGGAGTATGTGAGGGCAGTATGGGACCCTCCTTTTCCCAAGAGAAGATTCTGGATTTCTAGGTTTTTTCAGACTGGAATATCTCACAGATCTTAGCCCTACTTGAGTTATATTGGTAACCCCTTCTTTTCATGTTCAATAAATCAATAAAACTTTTGAGATGATATTCATATAAAATTAGCCATTATAAAGTGAACAATTCAGTGAGCCATTCAGAATGTTGTGCAACCACTCTCTAGTTCCAAGACGTTTTCATACTCCACACCCATTAAGCAGTTACTTCCACCCCTCCCCACCTTCAGCCTCTGGAACCACCAATTTGCTGTGTCTACATGGATTTAGCTATTCCAGAGATTTCATATAAATTGTGACCTTTTATGTCTGGCTTCTCTAATTCCTCTTATAGGAAGGCTGCTACATGACAATCTCTGTTAAAAAAAAAAAAAAGTCTCCACACTTGAAGAGAGGAGCATGAAAGATCTCACCAAACCTAAGAACCAATTTCTTACACCCAAACAGTGAGGAGGTCATCCTAATGTTGCAAATGATGTTTCCTGCTTAGAAGGAAAAGAAGCTCAAAACCTCTTAGATTCGCATGACCAATACAGTACACAAGTTACACAAACATGAATTCCAGGCCTATCCTTTACTTATGCGTTCTTAAAAATGAGGATTATAACACATCACCTTGGCTAGGCTGGACTACGTTCTCCAGAATTCCCTTCCCTGTGTATTTTGGGTTAGTGTGGGCCACAGGAGGTATTTTGGGGCAAGATTGAGAAGATGGAAAGGAAACAGTAACCGGCTCGTGTTTCAGCTTGCAAGGTCGGGCAGGTACTTGGTAGTTCACTCATGTTGCTGCTTATCGGTTGGGTACCTTGCTGGTGTGGGGCAACTGTTGCTGTAACTGCTACACATTCCCCTGGATCCTCCTTCAGTTGCTGAGTCCTGGGCCAGGTGATTTTCAGTTAAATGACAAAGACCACCAGCTTTTCCTGCAGGATACCCACTTCATTAAGGTTGGAGGCAGTGGGGACTGCCATGGGTCCCAGTCCATTCTCGTGGGTTCTAGTTTGTCCCAGCTCCCCCTCACTGTTCACCCACCTTCCCTTCCCCACCACCTGCCCTGCGGATTTCAAGCTTTACCATTAGACATAAAGACAATCACCTTAGACTATGTCTCTAGCTGCCATACTTGAGAAATGTCAAATCCCTCTAACAAACTGCATATGTAGGATAGATTAGATAATGTATATATACTTCTAGTAGTTCTGCTTCTCTGAATAAATCCTAGTTAACTAAGTTACCACTGCTTCTTTGAAGAAGAGTCAGTAACCTTACAATCGAACAAATTAAACTCCTGCTTCTTCAATGCCAAGGATGACTAAGTAAGGAACTACATATGAAGTTACCCGGAACAGCAAAGTGGAGTCAGAAACAGAGTTTGACCCACCAGAAGTAGGGTTTCTCCACACTGGCATTACTGACATCTGGGCAGGACAGTTCTCTTTTGTGGGGGACCACCCCGTGCATAATAGGATGTTTACCAGCATGCCTTGCCTCCACCCACTACATGCCAGTAGGACCCCCAGTGTGGCAAGAAAAAGTGATTTCAGACATTGCCAAGTGTCTCCTGAGGGGCAAAACTGCCTCCTGTTGGGACCCACAAACCTGAAAGCTCACTATGGGCCCTGTGTGAGCCCCTTCTCTCTTCTTCCTGCCACTTTTCCCACTCCACAGTCACAGCAGTGCAGAACTCAACAAAGTCTCAGGTTGGCATGCCCTCACAAACAGATGGAAGTAATAGGTCCAGAGAGGAAGGGATCCACCAAGCACCGCAGAGCTTGTTAGAGCCAGAGCTGGGGAAAGACTTCAGGTCTTGTCTCCCAGCTCAGTGCTGTTTCTGTTAACGACACCACCCTGCTTTGCCATGGCACTACAAGTCGCTAACTTGACATGTGGTGACAGGCTGCGGAATGCAGTCACTGAGGGAGACTGCAGTGATCCCAAGACATTGAGCAATTATCTCATCATCCTGCACAAAACAACCAGGAGGGGAAGAGAAGGCACCAAGGAAGGAACAGCTTTACTAGAAGCCTAGGCGTGTTAGGAAAACCCAATTCAGTCAGAGAAGAGATGTGAATATTGATACAGGGCAGGAATCTGGCATTATAGAATATGTCCTCTCAAAAACCAAGTGTGGAAAGAAAACCTCCATGGAAATATCCTGACAGAAATGCTGCTGAATTTCACCCTGGTCCAATTCTGGAAGCTCCTGGTGAAATGATGAGATGTTTGCATAAAGGGTGAACTCTCCAGCATTTTGCTGCATCTGAGCTCCACTTAAGGTTATAGGTCTGGTACGGGAGAAGTCGAGGAAAAGGTAAGGGGGATGTCTCATCACCCAGACAAGGTTATCTGTGCAGGTGAGAAAGGAACCTTCAGCTTTTGAACAGAGACAGCAGGGGCAGCAGGGGGATACACAACTCTGAGAAAACACAACTCTGGGCAACATCTGTCACAACCTGGGGGACTGTGCAGTCTGGTGTGAGTGGGTCTCCCACATGTCCTGGGCAATGCTGACACCCCTTCCTGTGCCCTGGAAGAGAGCCATTTTGGTTCTGTTCTGACTTCATTCAGAGCAGAACTGCCAACGTCCAGCATCAAGTCCTGGATCATAATTAGCCGAGAGGAATGGAGTGGCTGCCCTGTGATGCCTGCACCTCTTCCTCTCTGGAACAGTCGCTTTTCTCAGACCAAGTGACATTTTACCCAGTATGAGCCCAGTCCAGCAAGCACTCCCACCTTCACATGAGCACCAGGTGGAGAATCATTTGCACGAGTCAGAGCTTTGGATCTCGATCCTCAGGTGATGTCCTTTGGACAGAAGATTAGTCTGAAGCGATCTGTGCCCGGGGCCTGGTTTCTGTCAAGAGTGGCAGGCACTGCCTGTTGGTAAGGGGTCCAAGCGATGTGATGCTGTAACTCTCCCAAAGAAGAGCTCCTTCGGCTTTCACAGGCAGAAAGGGAAGAAATGAGGCTGGCTTCAGAGTAGCTAATGCCATTTAATTCTTCCACCGAATTTGCTGTGGAAAGAGGAAATAATGGCAGTGTGTGATCAGTTCTCACTTACTTCTGCAGCAAGTTAGAGCGAATGCAATAAAACAAGGGTCACAGCCAGGTGACGTAAGGAAAAGAAGAATCAAACGGGAGGGGTTGCTGAGAATTTTTAAAAATATGTGGAAAAGTTCATTTATTCAAAGATGGATTAAACACCTATTCTGTATTTTACAAGCCCAGCGTAGGTCATGTATTCTGGTTCTGCTTCCTCAGGAGCAAGATTCACCAGCTTTAGGTATGTCCCAAAATACCTAACAGGGAACTAAGTTCCATATTAACAGCTCAGTCATTTCATGCTATGAGAGACGAACCAGCTGTGCTCTCCAGATCGCTGACATCTGTTTCACCCACTGCTTATTTCCAACAGGCGGGTCACACCCATTTCAGGAGACACACAGCCTCATTCTGAATTTGTATTTATACTTCCAATATTTAGTCTCGCCTACCTTCTAGTTTTAACAATTATCAGAGCATGACAGTTAAATCTCAGCCCGGGGTCCCCAAAATACCCTCCTATCATCCCACACCTCAGGAGTAATTTCTGCTGTTGAAAGCAGTGCTTTTGGCCTTTCGACCCCCAAGAGAGTCTAACATCCACGTGCCTCAGCTACCTACAATCCTGTCCAGGCCTTGGGAACATGCATGGGATGCTACTTTGTGCACTGTCTCCTGATCCTGCTGGAGGGGAAAGATGCAGGTGCTCACCGAGCTGCAGAGAATGGCGTCAATCTTCTCCTCTTCAGCTGACCCTTTCTCTACCTTACTCCTATACGCTAGCAGCTGTTGGCGATCCTTCAGGTCCCGGCAAGTCTGCATACCAAAACAAATGAACAGTATATACCCCCACAGCCTTCTGTATTAGGGCTTTTTTTTTTTTGAGATGCGCTATGTTGCCCAGGCTGGTCTCAAACTTCTGGGCTTAAGCAATCCTCTCTCGTCAGCCTTCCTAGTAGCTGGGATCACAGGTGCATGCCAATGTAGTAGAAATAATCCCTCACTGAACGAAAAGCTATTTCTTTTCATCACTATCATTTTGATCAAGGCTCAAGGAGAGACCAAGAGACTATAATGGGATGACAGTGGGTCCAATACTCACAGAATTCATGTTGGAGAGAATTCTACATAGCTTATAGCTTAATTCAGTTCTATGGGTTCTCCAAGTGCAACAAATTTACAAAAGCACAGAAAACCAGTCAGAGGGCTGGAAAAATAATACAGGAATGTTGATCTCCACACTCATTCTTGCCAAAACTGCTGGAAGCACCTCAGGGTCTAGGACAGAATGCTGCAACCCCCCACCCTCCACTCAGGGCTCTCATTTCCTGAGGACTCACATCAATGACGACTTCATGGCACTTGAACTTAGTGGCTAAGTTCAACTTTGTGTCCACATCTTCCACCAGATTGACATATTCCTGTAGTATCTGTGGGAAGAAGTACTTCTGATTAATGATTCCACCAAGATCATAAAACACACAGCTCTACAAGATAGGAAAAAAGTCCCAAAGAAGGCAAAGAGCTCAACGTCCAACGTCTACAATTCCCATCACCAACCACAGGATTGCTCTGTAATGGGAGATGAGGTGACCTGGGACATGAGGTGAGCTTCCTTATCCCAGAGAGCCAAATGCACACAGCAGCAGTGGAAGTGTCCCGTGACCATGCAGTGCTGTGCCCACCGCTCCTTGATGGCTTTTCTCAGTGAGTTCTCCTTCCATGTAATTTGGGCAGTACATCAGGGCTCACACAAGCCAAACGCAGCAGATGCCCCTCAGAGAGGACAGTCTGGAATTACTTCTAAAGGGCAGAGAACTTCCCTCCCTGGTCTCTTCTACCTCGAGGCCCAGTGCACCCACTGTGCTGCCTTTGAGGGAAAATAAGAACAGATCCAGTCTCCCATCACTGACTAGCAAGAGGCTAAGCAAGGTCACCTGGGTATCTTGTACCCAACTCTCCTCAGGAGCCATTACCTGGACAGGGGCGCTGTTCTTGTGCAAAATTTCCACAACCCGATGGAAGCCAATGGGTGCTCTCTTCTTGGTGTAGCCCAGCCAGTTCTGAAAAAGGAAGATGGGGCAGCAGGAGCTAGGCCAGACACACTCGACACACTCTGGGCTAACCTCTCTCTGTGTTACCGTCAGAGCAGAATAAAGGGGATGGAGGTGAGGAATAGAGAAGTGATGAGATATGAATCTTGCAGAGAAGTCAAGGGATTTGAGAGGGTGGGAAGAAAAAGCCACGAACTACTGCTAAATAGTGTAATCTACTTAATATTTGTAGTATAACCCTAGAGGATAGCAAAAAAATCTATCCTCTCAATCTTTATATGTATACATAGATGTTTATTCGTAAATTCATGAGGAAAGGTCTGGAAAGCTACTCATCAAACTTTTCAGTGTTTGCCTTGAGGAAGAGAGTGAGACAGCAGCAGGCACCCAATGAAAGAACTTAATTATTTATATACTTTCATAAAGTATTTGATTTTGATATAGGCAGGTATTGCTTTGGTAGTCAATATAACTAATAAAATAATTAACAAGGGGCAAGAACAAAAAACATTGAAACACATAATGGAAAATAGATATTTAAAATGTAAACCAGGACTGGGTGTGGCAGATCATGCCTGTAATCGCAGCACTTACTTGTGCCTAGGAGTTTGAGACCAGCCTGGGCAACATAAGGAAGACTGCATCTATACAAAAAACCAAAAGGTTAGCTGGGTGTGGTCATGCCCGCCTGTAATCCCAGCTACTTGGGAAGCTAAGGAGAGTGGAGCCCTTCAGCACAGGAGTATAAGGCTGCAGTGAGCCATGTTCATGCCACTGTACTCCAGTATGGGAGGCAGAGTGAGACTCTGACTCAAAAAGAAAAGTAAACCAATTTGTGTGGAACCACCAAAGACCAAAACAATCAATGTTAAAGAAAAACGAATTGGGAGGCATCACATTTCATAATTTTAAATTATATTACAAAACTATAGTAATTAAAACAACATTGTACTGGCATAAAAACAAACACACAGGCCAGTGGAACAGAACAAAGAACCTAGAAATAAACTCAAGTATGTATACACGGTCAGATAACTTTCAAAAAAGGCACCAAGAGGACACAATGGGAAAAGTGCTCTTCAATAAATGGTGCTGGGAAAACTGAATATCCACACGCAAAAGAATGAAGTTGAGGCTGAGTATGGTGGCTCATGCCTGTAATCCCAGCACTGTGGGAGGCCAAGATGGGAGGATCGCTTGAGGTCAGGAGTACTGAGAACTCACACAACTCAACAGCAGTAAGACAAATGATCAGATTCAAACATGGGCAGAAGATCCAAATGGAAGTTTCTCCAGAGAAGATGTACCAATGGACAGCAGGCATGTGGAAAAGGACTCAACATGACTCATCATCAGCAAGGTGCAGATCCAAGCCGCAAGGAGGACCACCTCCTGCCTGTCTCTGGTAGGAGCTAACAAGTATAGGGCTAGGATGCAGAGGAAAGGGATGTGCATTGCGGGTGTCAGTGTAGGTGGTGCAGCCACTGTAGAAAACAGTATGGGAGTTCCTGAAGAAATTAAATTACTGTATGACCGAGTCATCCCACTTCCAGGTATATATCCAAAAGAAATGAAATCACCACCTTGTAAAGAGATATCTACCTCACTGCAACGTTATTCACAACAGTCAAGACAAGGAAACAACTTAAGTGTTCACTGACAGACAAAACTGTCTCACACACACACATACACAGGAATATTATTCAGCCTCAAAGGAAAAAAAAGATCATGCCATTTACCACAACATAGATGAACCTGGGGGGCATTAATAAGCCAAACACAAAAAGAAAAAACACAAAAAGAAAATATTGCATGATCTCACTTATATGTGTGATCTAAAAATAAAAAAGTTGGCTGGACTCAGTGGCTCAGCCTGAAATCCCAGCACTTGGAAAGGCTGAGGCGAGTGGACTGCCTGAGCCTGTGGGCTTGAGACCAGCCCGGGCACCCTGGCGAGACCTCAACTCTACAATAAATAAAAAATTAGCTGGGCATGGTGGCGCATGCCTGTAGTTCCAGCTACTTGAAGGCTAAGGCAGAAGGATTGCTGGAGCCCAGCAGGTCAACACTGGGGTGACTGTGAGCGTGCCACCGTACTCCAGCCTGGGTAATGAGTGAGACTCCAACTATAAATAAATAGATAGATAGATAGATAGATAGATAGATAGATAAAATTTAAAAAGTTGAGAAGAGACTAAAACAGTGACTACCAGAGTTGGGGTGGAGGGAAGAAGAAATTCAAAGATGTGGATCAAAGAATATAAGGCAGCAGTTATGCAGGTCAAAGAGCCGGAGGGCCAAGGCAAAAACATGAAGACTGCAGTTACTAATATTGTATAGTAATCAGAGTTTTGCTAGTGAGTAGAGTTTAGTTGTTCCTGAACACACAAAAAGATAACTACGTGAGATGATGGATATGTTAATCTACTTCACTGTAGTAACCATTTACTATCTATATGTATCTCATAACCTCATCTTGTACAACAAATATATACAGCAAAATTTATTTTAATAAAAGACAACAAGCGCTGCCCAGGGTAAGGAGAAAAGAGACCCACCCCTTGCATACTGTTGGTGGGAATATAAATTGGTGGAGCCATCATGGAAAACCATATGGAGGGTTCTCAAAACTTTTTTTTGACTTGGAGTTTCACTCTGTTGCCCAGGATGGAGTGCAGTGGTGTGCTCATAGCCACCACAGCTTCGACCCGCTGGACAAAGTGAGTCGACGGAGTGAGACTCCAACTCCAAAAAAAGCTAAAAAAAAAAAAAAACCTTTTAACATAGTACTACCATATGATCTAGTAATCCCATTACTGGGTATATATCCGAAGGAAATAAAACCAGCATCTTGTAGAGATATCTGCACTCCCTTGTTTACTGCGGCATTATTCGCACAGCCAAATATGAAAACAATGTGTCTATCAATGGATGGATACATTTCTTAAAATTGTGGTAATACAGACAATGGAATGTTATTCATAGTCTTAAAAAATAAGGAGATCCTAACATTTGTGACACCATGGATGAAACTAGAGGACATTATCCTGGGTGAAATAAGCCAGACAGAGAAAAATACTGCATGATCTCACTCATATGTGGGCTCTAAAAAGTGCTGAATACATAGAAAGCAGAAAGGTGTTTCCAGAGAAGGGGAGAATAGGGAGATGAGGGTCAAGGGTACAAAGGTGCAGTTATGCAGGATGAACAAATCTAAAGGCCTGTTGCACAGCATGAGGACTACAGACGATATCGAGCTGCAGACTGGGGCTTTACTGAAGAAGTGGATTTTAAGTGAACTTGCCCTACTCACAAAAAATGGGTTAACTGAGATGATGGATGCTAATTGGCTTGACTGTATAACCATTTCAGTATGTGTGTGTAGAGCAAACATCGTGTTGTATAACCTTAAATATATACAATGCAAAAAGTAAATCAGTGTAGAGTTGACAATCAAATTCAATGCAAGGTCATTGGCTGGATCCTGATCGAAAAAAATACAGGAACAAACCAAAACCAGGTATAAATAACTGACTTAAATATGGATATTAATGTTAAATTTCTTGTGAGTGATAATAATAATGTACTTATGAAGGAGATAAAAGCTTAAGAACGTAAGGAAGAAGTATCATGATGTCTACAACTTACATTTACTTATTTATGTATTTATTCTTACATGTTTAAGCTTCAGTCACCTTCAAAGTAGTCTCCATTTGATGCAATACATCTACCAAGATGCTTTTTTCACTGCTCAAACAGTTTTTGAACTTGTCAATTTTGATGCCTTCTCGTGCTTCTGCCATTTTTTGTTTCACCTCTTCCACACTGGCAACACGTCTCCCTTTGAGGACTTTTTTCCATCTCTGAAATCTGGACACTTGTCTGCATCTCCTCTGCCATTTCCCAAGTCCACATCGTCTTTGTCTCTTGCTGGGATCTCTCCAATAGCCTCCTAATTGGTTCAACAGCATTCTCCTTGGCTGCCTCTATTCTCTTCTGCAGAGTAACCTTGAAGTCGCCACCACATCTTTATTGCCTCAAGGACAGAATCTGAGATCGGCATCCTAGCTGACAGGGAGGTATCACAGCCTCTTGTTTATGTATTTATTTATTTTTTGAGTTAGGGTCTCACCCTGTCATCCTGGCTGGAGTATAATGCTACAATCACCGCTCATTGCAGCCTCAGATTCCTGGGCTCAGGTGTTCCTTCTGCCTCAGCCTTCTGAGTAGCTGGGACTACAAGCACGTACCACTATGCCCAGGTAATTCTTTTATTTTTTGGTAGCGATGACAACTGATTATGTTGCCTAAGCTGGTCTCGAACTCCTGGGCTCAAGCAGTCCTCCCACCTTGGTCTCCCTGGGATTATAGGTGTGTTGGGACTATAGGTGTGAGCCACTGTGCCCAGCCTGCAACTTACTTTTGAATGTTTCAGGAAAAAATGCACATGTATAGAAATAGAGAAAGCTAATATGGCAAAAATGTTAATGAAATAGTGAGTGAGTAAAGACTATTACTATTCATTATACTATTCCTTCAATCTTTCTTTAGGTTTGAAATTCTGGAATATAAAAAGTTGGAGAAAAACAGTAAACCAATAACCAGAGCTTATAACATGATATGATAACCTTTCTCCCAAGGCCTCCGCAGCACAAAACAGTTCCAGGGCACTCACCTTTGTGGTGAAAAGGGCATCCACATCATGCCAGGCTCGGAGCTTGGCGCGGGCAGCCAGGGCTGTCAGCACATACTGTTTGTCTGGGATCTAGAAAGCAGAGACCGAGAGAAATTAACAGGAAGTAGAAACGCATCAGTGGAGGTGCTTGAGAATTTCAGAAGAGATAGGCATAAATATTCCCTGATACAATTTCTGCCCCTTAAAATCAGTACATTTCTCACATCATCAAGAACCCCTAATTCCCAAGCCCCAACACCGCTGCAAGTCATTTGGTCCTCCCTCACCATAAGCTCATCTTCTCTAACTGCAAGCCTGAGTATCATAAAACTTAACAATACAGGGTTTCAAAGCAACATCCACTTCATGTAGTTACCTGATACTACTTTTATAAGTCACTGAACAATTTATACCTACCTTAAATGTCTTCTTCAGGTTGATGGGACTGCTGAATGTTCCCTGGGATGAAAGTAAAGAAGGAACTTGAGTGATGCTGACTTTGCCATTTACCACCCCAGCTCCCATTTTATTTTTCATGATACAAACTTTCTACATCTCACTCTGTAACCATCTAAATGCAGAAATTAATTTAAGAGAAGAGCTGCATTGGGAATAATCAGCTATCACCACAAGCTGGCCTATCAGGAATTGGGTTAATAAGCATGGTGTTTTTCCAATTTTCTGCTAACCCAAATAAGGGGAAGAGGTCCTGTTTGGATCACTAAATTCAAACTTCTTTGAAAAATTTAGGAAAAAGCCGGGCTCGGTGGCGCAGCCTGTAATCCCGTGCCTTTGGGAGGCTGAGGTGAGTAGATTGCCTGAGCCCGCGGGTTCGAGACCCACCTGGGCAACTTGGCGAGCCCTCATCTCTACAATAAATCAAAATGAGCCGGGCATGGTAGCGCACACCTGTAGTTCCAGCTACTTGGGTGGCTGAGGTGGAAGGATTGCCGGAGCCCAGCAGGTCGAGGCTGCGGTGGCCGGGAGCGGCCACTGCACTCCAGTCTGGGTGACAGAGTGAGACTCCAACTCAAAAAAAATAAATAAATAAAATAAATAAATAAAAATTTAGGAAAAAACCCCGTATCTGCACTACCTGGCACATGGCCGCTCTTCTCTGCACCAGGCCAGTCCATCTGCAGCCACAGGCCTCTGGGCAGAGACTGCTGAGGGAAACAGCACCAAGGACAGCTCTGCCAGCTCCCAGCTCACCAGAAGCCACACAGGACCTTACAAACCTCTTTTTCCCTCTTGGCTCATCCTTGCCTGAGGGCCAGGAAAGACTCCAGGTGGATTTCTGAGAACTATATACACCCATTATTAATAGAAAACATCAAAATACTGGATTCAAACTACATTCTTATGCAATGAGAGTTTGTGGGGTGTTTCTTTCATATTCTGCCTATACCTCAGCCTCGGTGTAGTGATAGAAGCAGGAGTAGAAGAGCGTGGTCACTAGTGGCATGTTGAGGATGGAAGCTTTGCGGGGGTGCTTTCGGAAGATCTCAGTCTGTCCTGCTGATTCTAGATGTCGATCATTTGCCTGTGGTAGAGAAAGTGAAGTTAAAAAAAACAAAAACAACAATGTCCATGGAGTAGAGGCAGGAGAAAAATCTTTAAATACTATAGCAGTTGTGTTTCCCACCCTAGGAATGAAACAAAGAAGAGAAAAAGAAACTGTCTAGGATACCCCTGTAGTTTAAAATCCATAAAATGGGCCAGGTGTGGTGGCTCACGCCTGTAACCCCAGCACTTTGGGAGGCTGAGGAAGGAGGATTGCTTGTGCCCAGGAGCTCCAAGACCAGCAGGCAACACAGCAAGACATTGTCTTCAAAAAAATTTTTAAATTAGCCAGAAATGGTAACACATATCTGCAGTCCCAGTCAGTCAGGAATCTGAGGCAGAAAGATCACCTGAGTCCAGGAGATCAGGCTTTGGTTAGCCATGATTGTGCCACTGCACTCTAGCCTTGGGGACAGAGTGAGACAGACTCAAAAAAAAAAAAAAAATCCATTAAAATGATCGTAGGTACAAGCTGGAAAGAGAAAAATAAAAGTGATGGTGGCCAGGCTTGGTGGTTCAGCTTTTTAATCCCAGCACTTTGGGTGGCAGAGGCGAGTGGATTGCCTGAGCCCGCGGTTTTGAGATCAGCCCAGGCAAATTGTCTCTACAATAAATTTTTTTTAAAAATTAGCCGGGCGTGGTAGCGTGTGCCTATAGTTCTGGTTACTTGGAGGGCTAAGGTGGAAGTATCATCTGAATCTAGAAGTTTGGGCTGTGGCTGGCCATGATTGTGCCACTGTACTCTAGCCTGGGGAACAGAGTGAGACACTGACTCAAAAAAAAAATCCATTAATATGATCATGGGTCCAAGCTGGAGAGAGAAAAATAAAAGTGATGATGGCCGGGGTTGGTGGTTCAGCCTGTAATCCCAACACTTTGGGAGGCAGAGGCGAGTGGATTGCCTGAGTCCACGGGTTTGAGACCAGCCCAGCCAAACTGGCAAGACCTTGTCTCTACAATAAACTTCTTAAAAAAAATTAGCCAGGTGGTAGCACACGCCTATAGTTCTGGTTACTTGGAAGGCTGAGGCGGAAGGATTGCTGGAGCCCAGCAGGTTGACACTGGGGTGGCCGTGAGTGTGCTGCTGCATTCCAGCCTGGGCGACAGAGTGAGACTCTAACTGAAAAAATAAAATAAATTAAAAAAAGGTGATGACATGGGAGATTTGGAACAAAAAAGAAATACTTCCAGGTTAACAGCAGGCGAGAAGGAAAAGGAAGCCTCAGAACAGTGGAGCAAAGGGGCTAGTGTGTGTAGGGAGAAAACGAAAGGCTTCTGGAGAATATGGCAGGAAATGATATACAAGTGCAGAGCACAGAGGTCTCCCAGATGCTGAATGGCACTGAGTCCTAGCACTGAAGCAGAAAACAGAGATGAGGAGTCTAACCTCAATAATGATCTGCCGTTCCAGGAGGGTGTAATGGTCTTGTATGTGTGCAGAATCTTCTGCTGAAAATGGCAAACTGGTAGAGGGCCAGAAGGTTAGTGCCTCTTTCTCTATTCAGCAAAAGAAACAAACCCAACTAAACCAAATCACCAGTTAACACATAGGAAGCTCAGGGTTCTTTACAAGTCTGATCTCAGTGCACCTTTAGGGCATCCCTCAAAGGCAGAGAGAAATAGCAGAAAGTAGAGTAGCTTTGCCTTGAGTGTTGTATTAAAGGTTTTGCCAATTCAAGAAGGATGCTGAAAATCCACAAAATACAGTCATTAATGACTTTTAAGGATTGAATTAGAATCCTCATTTTGGGAGATGCAATGTTTGGTGAATGAGACACAAAGCTTGTGAGTGAGCCTAGCCAACTGTCCATCATCCATATCCCAGTGAAACTCTGGGGATTGTGTCATTGCTTAACTTAAGGGACACTTACATTTGTTAGTTATTATTTTATTGCAGAGTAATAAAAGTGAATTAAATTACATGGCATGGTGGTACATTTGCTGATTGGAAAAGAACGCAAACATCAGGGGTCCCATCTTCAACACTGTCTTGCCTAAAAGTCATATGGTTAGGCAGTGGGTAAGGCCAGAAATAGAAGCCAGATTTTAAATTCCAAGTTTATAGTGCTAGCCTTTAGAAAGGGCTGTCTTATTCCCCTACTCTACTCACTCTAGGAAGAATTCTAAAGTTCAATTACACTATCCCAGTTTGAGCCATAGTGAATTTTTAGAAGAGATTAAGGGAGACAGCTCCAGGTTCCCGATACTTCACTATTCCAACTTTTCTCATTTTTTCTGGAGGCCATATAACGTAGCCCAATGTTTGGTAACATCAAAATTAAGGATTTCACTGACATAAACAAATTTCTAAATGTGAAACCTAGAAGTCATGTCACATGAGGAAAGACTGAAACAACTGTGAATACCGCACCTAGGGAAGCAAAGATCACTGGGTAGACCTTATGCCTATCCTATAAGACACAGGGAAGCAAGTTTCAGCTTAACATAAGGAAGCACCTTCCAGTAATAAAGGTTGTCCAACAGCCAATAACATGAGAACAGCAAGAGCAGCAAGCACCCCATCACAGGAATAACATGTGGGGCTGGTTTTTATAAGGACTTAAATCCTGAGTGAAAGCTTGCCCTGAATCAGTGCTTCTTGGACTCTGGGGCTTCAAAGATTCGAAACACTGAAAAAAATATATAAGTTCATTAAAAAATAACCTTTTTTTAACCCTATTTTTAAAAGGGTTTTTAATTTTATTACATAACATTATTAAACAGTTACAACCTACTTTACTACCAAAAAAAGGAAGAGGAATAAGGACAAAATCCTAGAATAAAAGACAATCTTTCAAATTAAATAAATGTAGCTTTAGAATAAAAAAGGCTTTACATTTGTCTTTATGTTTCTCAGTTTGCCACCAATCAGTGAAAATGCTACTGGGGACTGGAGCTTGGGTCCACTGAGTGAGACAACCTTTAATGATGTTTATGTGATTGTTAGCCTCTTCCTTCCTGTCTATCCATTCCACCCTTTCTCATTCTCTTCACTCTTTCTGTATAAAGGTATTTATGCTTAAAACCATTTCTCCCCCACACCTACCCAATGCAGGTTTTGAGAAATTCTTTTCGTGTCTCAGGGTCCTGAATGTTCAAATGCTCTCGATAATGGGATAGCTACAAAAAACAGAGAAAGGCTTTGAGCTATTTTGTCTCCCGAGAGGGAAGGTAGCTGAGTAAGTGGACTTTCCAATGCTTGAAAAAACCCAATTTTTTAATTCTCAGAGAGCCCTTCTAGGTGTATATGGCTATGTTTGTGTTGAGAGGGTGGGGAACAAGAGTGACTCAAAATCATTGTAAGTTTGTCTATAACTGCACTGTCCAATACAGTAGCCACAAGTCACATTTGGTTGTTTAATTTAAATTTAAATTAATTAAAAATTCAAGTCCTTAGTTAACACTAGCCACTTTCAATTTAATTTAATTTTGCTATTATTTTTTAAAGACAGGATCTCACTATGTTGTCCAGGCTGGTCCCAAATTCCTGGGCTTAAGTGATCCTCCTGCCTTGGCCTCCCAAAGTGCTAGGGTTACAGATGTGAGCCACCATGCTGGGCAATACCACTTTTTAAGAACTCATTAGTTTCATGTGACTAGGGGCTACCATATTGGACAGCACAAATATAGAACATTTTTATCACTGTAGGAAGTTCTGAAGTTCTACCAGACAGTGCTGATCTACAAGGAAGCATCAAGTAGACAGAACACTTAGTTTTAATCCTGAAGTTTTGCTTTAGCCTCAGTATTTAGTCAAAAATGGCTCTTAAGCTTCAGCCCTGGCTTTTGAAAGGTCAAACAACTAAACGTCTACTTCTGTTTTTGGCATCCTTGACCATGTCCATGATCAATGGTAATATGACCATGTACATACTTAACAATTAACAATATCAGTAACACAAATAGGATGTGTCATTCTGATTCACTGTTCATAGCTAAATATTCACACTCAAATACTATAGGTTCTACATGTAACTCTGAAAATCTCCTTATGCGTTTTGTATTTTGAAATTCTAAAAAAACCCATGAAGTATTTCTACTTGCTATATAAGAGTTGGATGATGCAATAATTAGTGACAATTGTGAAAATTAGAATTTTACATACAATTATTAAAAACTTTCCGAGAATGGAAAAATAAACAGATTGATAGCTATTATGAATAGCAAGAGAATGAAATTGCTTTAGGAAGGCCTGTATATCCTTTTAGAGTCAACAGATATATGTAAAATTATAAATGATAATAAAAGAATAATAAAAATTGTATTACATTATAATCTAATCTTTAAAAATATTTAGTATAAAATATTTGGTATATAATCATAATATTAAAGGAAGTAACCTCTAAGAGCGATAGCTAATTTTTTGTCACTCAGTTCCATTTCAACCTTAAGTCTTTCAATAACAAGCCCTACTTGGGAAACCTTCATATTCTATGAGGATAAAATAAAAGCAGACTATCAGCGTTGCCACTTCCAAAGTTTACATGGTTGAAAAATTCCAAGTTTATATATTCACACATAATGAGTATGAAGAAAATAAAGTTTTAGATAAAAATGAGTCACCCAAAACACATTTGTTCTTACTAATCAAATTCAAAACAACATTCTTTATAAGAACGCTATATTAAGATTTTCCTTACAGTTTTGAACCTATGGAGGCTTAAAAATATAAACAAAAAGCTTTTCAATACAGACTGCCAATCATTTTTAACTGATTAACATAAAGGACTTTTCAGATTTTCCCATGCCTTGAATATTAAGTACAAGTTCCTTTTAGAAAACAGGCTACTGAAAGACATGTTCCTGAATTGTATTCTGCCATCCAAAGGAAGTTCACAATGTTATTAAACATGCCAGCTAAATGTGTGCATCTGTCATCAAAAATGGGCGGCACAGTGACTAAAGGAACAATCCTGCCATCGACGGTGCTGAGAAATCTTATTCCTCCACCAAAATGTCAAACTTTTAAGAATGGATTGCTGGAGTCTTATTAAAACTATTTTTGGTATAATTTTAGATGTATTCTTGTATACCAGGAGTCCATTGTTTGATTATAAAAATATGCCAAAATCAAGTTTAACACTTGGTCACTGAACTGTCAGCCAAAACGTGTACCGGGCACACCACCAACTTGACCTGTCTTCCTTCTTGACCTACACTGGGTTGCTCATCCTCTTAGCTTCAACATTTTCTTAGTGTTAGAAGCCAAAACCCAAAAGCTCCTACAAGCCATGACTCAAACCATGACTCGAAAACAGCTGAAAAACAAATTACAAACTGATCGAGTCAACTTTCACACAATTTTTTATTTATTCATAAGCCCAATCAAAGTGGCATATAAAAAGGAAGAAAACAATCATTTGGATTAAGTCTTCCAGTTTCCCAGATGCCTCTCTTTTCTGTGTTTATAGTCAGTATAAAGGGAAATAGTTCAATAATTTGAGATCTCGGAGGCTGGGTTTTGGCTTAGATTTCAGTTAAACAGGTCCCCAACTGAAACAAAGGCCACACTTACCGCAAGCTCTTCTGTTCTATCTAGGAACCTGGGAAGAAGCAGAAGGGAGCAGTGCGTTTTTATCTATTGATTGTGTGGCAATGCGACCTCACAAGACGGGGTGACTGCTCTGGAAGAAGCACACTTGACTGGTTTCCCTCTAGACACAAGGTAAATGGTGACTCGGGTGTCACTGCTTCCTTGTTCTCTTTGGCTGAACGAAAGGCAAGGCCGAGGAGGTACTGCAGTAATAACCCCACCATGTTAGCAGGTCTGAGAAGAAGGCTCAGAGCCTCCACCAAACCTACTTACCCACAGAAACCTGTTTGTCTGTATGTTTGTTTTTAAAGATTAAAGAATTCTTCTCTGTCAATACAATCTTAGAAACAGATTTTTAAAATTGTTTTCACGGACCTCTGAGTACAATGTGTTCTGTCTCCCCCAAAGACTTAGGTAAGGCCTTGGAGCATGAGCACTTTTATCCTCTGATTCTTCCTTATGCTGCATAGACACCATAATTAACATAACATCTTTGGCATAGCAGTGATACTTGATAAAGCCTTGTTGATGGGGAAAGACCAAGAGAGGGAGGAACAGCCACCTCCATGAGTACTTTTTGGCTAAGCATCTGCAATCTGGCCCTGACCTCGTAACCTGCATTCCCTACCTTAGCCTTTGGGAGAGCTCAACACTGTGCTGGAGTCACTAGGTAACTGGAGTTACCTTGGGCTACATGCCAAACTAAACAGAGGTTTTGGAACCTTTCCCTGACCCTGAAGAGAGGATGTGACATACATACATTTTAACCCAAGTACAGAAGATAGTCCCCACTGATTGGAATGAGATAGGTAAGGATACACGACGGAAGACCACCCAGTCCCTCTGCCCCTGCAGACATTCCTGCCTCATACCTATCAGAGTCCTCCCTAGCCTCACAGGCTCAATTCAGATCCTCATCACTTCTGTGAGCTTTCCTCAGGCATCCTGATTGAAAATTATATTCTCCCTTTCTCTTCCACTCTGCTTCTCACTGGCATTACTTGAGACCGAGTTAAAAAAAAAAGTACTTTTATTTAGACCTCTTATAAGTTAGTCAAGATTGATGACTACTACAGACTAGGCATTATGCTAAGTACTAACTATTCCAGTCTCCACAACGACCCCGTGGGGTCACACATCGCCACTCTACAGATGTGAAGATTGATGAAGAGGGTTGGATACTGGCTCAAGGCCACTCTGTGAATGGAGTGGCAGAGCCAGTGTTCAACCCAGGTGTGTGACTCCAGAGCCTGGCTTTTGACCACCCTGCTGAATCATCACCTTATCACAGGCTGAGGTGCACTGTTAGTTATCCTATCCCACTTCCCTTGTTTTCTAAGCATTTCCAGAAAAAGGACAGTGTCTTCTATGTCTGTGTTCCCAAAGCTTTGAAGAAGCACTTAACTTTACGACTGGATGATCAGTTCTTACCTGAAGAGGTCTAAGAGCAGCTTCTGATCCCCTATCTCCTTAAGAAAGTGAATGAGATGTCTCAGGGCAACCTGTCGCACCTCCAGCTCTCGGAAGAGGATCTCTGTCAGGCAGGCAGGAGTCAGGTGAGAAAGATTAAAGCCTACAGTCAAGTGTCTCCCTACTGACACATCCCAATGAGGGACCTCATCAAAGCCTAGCAGAAGCTGAGAACGGCTCACCCCTGAGTCTTTTTTTGAAAGCAGGATTTATTGAGAGGACAGAAAAGCTCCCCTAGTGGGAGGGGACCCAAAGGGGTTGCTCTACCCCTAAGTCTTAATCCGCCATCAACACACTCCAGGGTCCAGGGCGACTCATAGCCATGGAGTCAGCTTTTCAGTTCTCAACACTCAAACAGCAGGCACTCAGCATGGACTCTGACTTCCTGAAACCAACACAGCCATCTGTGTGTTCAATAAATAGAGGGGCCTTTGGAATTACTGTAATCGGCACCCTCAGGGATCCCTCAGAGATGTAATGTGTACTCTCAAGTTGCAGACCACTGCAGCTGTCTTTGAAATGGACTTGAAAGTGGTGAATTCTGATCTGAAAGCTACATGCCACTCTCCCCTCAAATGTGGCAGACACCTTGCAGACCATGCTCACCTTTGCTCAGTGTCCTCTTCAGGAAAATCAAGACCTACAGGAGGAGAAAACAAATAACGTGCAAACTTTCAAACACAAATCTCTGCCTCAAGCACCTGGTGTCTAGGAATGAGGTCAGCAACTCATTGGGATCTTTGCAGGTACAGACAACCGATCTCTCTATGTAATGGGAAGAAGGGTGAGAGACACCTGGAACTGAGCTGTGTCTTGGAAGTCCACACACCTGTGCCCATACTCCTGAGACACTTCCCTCTGAAAGAGATTGCTCTCACATTTCTCCTCCCTCAGGCTATTTATTCTAACACAGAGCATCCAGCATTGTGTCTCTTGGTTACAGTCAAGAGTTCCAGACACGATGCATGTCTCACCAGCTGAGCCCTGGAACACAAATTACTGAGAATCCTACACCTCAAGGAGAAATCAGGATCTTTACTTGACATTTAAGCCAAAATGTTAAAGCCTTTTTGATTAGATTTTCAGAAACTAATGAAAACAATACTTAAATGACAACAAAAACCTATAACTTGGCAGTGGCTCACGCCTGTAATCCCAGCACTTTGGGAGGCCAAGGCAGGAGAATCACTTGAGCCCAGGAGTTCCGAGACCAGCCTGGGCAACATAGTGAGACTTGTCTCTACAAAAAAAAAAAATTTTAGGTGGACATGATGGCATGTGCCTGTAGTCCCAGCTACTTGGAAGGCTGAGGCAGAAGGATCACCTGAGCCCAGGAGATCGAGGTTGCAGTAGCTGTGATCATGCCACTGCACTCTAACCTGGATGACAGAGTGAGACCCTGACTCAAACAACAAAAAAAACTCTCAAACTCACTGCAGTAATGACGTTTCCATCGTGCATGCTCACTGCCTCTTCTAGGAGTTGGAGCTTGTCCTGTAAGGAGCGGAACCGTTCTAGTGAGCAGACCTGCCAGAATAACAACAGAATTAGTGCATAAGGAAGAAGGCAGTTTTCCATACTCCTTTGTCACTGTAACTGGAGAATGAGTAGCAATGAAAATAAGTGTCCCCAACATATGGACTTCACAGCAACTTGGATGAATTTAGAGTCTATCATACTCAGTGATCTATCCAGAAACAAAGAACAGAGTACCATATGTTCTCACTCATAAGCAGACCTTGAACAATGATCATAATACTATAAGAAAGGAATTGACAACAGTAAGAAACTGCTGGAGGGGGGGCTGGCAGCTGGGGGAAACTGCCAGGGGAGGGAGGGGCACACCTCATCAACAAGGGTATCTGCATAATCAACATTTGTATACCTAACCCTGAATTGTACCCCACATCTTTAAAATAAAAATAAAATAAAATAAAATAAAAAAAGAAAGGGAGTGTTGCTAGAGACCTCTTATTTTTACAATATGGTCTCTAGTATTCTGTGAGACAGTAGGTTCCCAGCACATACTCTAGTTCAGCTTGATGCCCTACAAGATGCTAATATTCTGAAGTTTTGACAAAAATCAACAGAGATCACGTGTCCTTTTTTTTAAAGGTATAATTTACCTGCAATAAAATTCACCCTATTTAAGTGTATAGTTCAGTGAGTTCTGACAAGTATGTACATCCATGTAACCACTACCACAACAAAGATATAGAACATTTCTATCACCCAAAATGTTCCCTTGTCTTCTTTGATATTAATGCCTTCCTTCTATCCTCACCCCTGGCAACCATTCATCTGTTTTCATTCGCTATAGTTTTCCCCTTTCTAGAATGTTATAAAAATAAAATCATCAGGCCAGTGAGTGGCTCACGCCTGTAATCCTAACACTTTGGGAGGCCAAGGCAGAAGGATTGCTTAAGCCTAAGAGCCTGAGACCAGCCTAAGCAACATAGCAAAACCCTGTCTCTACAAAAAAAAAAAAAAAAAAAAAAATCAAAAGATTAGCTGGGTGTGGTGGCTAGCACCGATAGTCCCAGCTTCTTGAGAGGCTGAGGTAGGAGTTCATCTGAGTCCAGGGGTTTGAGGCTGCATGAGTTGTGATCATTCCACCTAACTCTAGCCTGGGCAACAAGGTGAGATTCTCTAAAATAATTAATTAATTAACAAAATCATACAATATGTACTCTTCTGTATCTGGCTTCTTTCACTCAAATCATATTTCTGAAAAGAAACCATGTGTTGTGACTATTAGTTTGTTCCTATTTATTGCCTAGTCATTTTCCATTGTATGGGTATACCACAGTTTAGCCATTTACCTGTTGATGAACATTTGAGTGGTTTTTCACTTTTGGGGTTTTTGAGAATAAAGCTGCTACAAACATTTGTGCACAAGTTTTTGTATAGACATTCAAACTGTATAGGTTTTTTTTTTGTTGTTGTTTTTTTGAGACAGGTCTCACTACGCTGTCCAGACTTAACTCCTGGGTGCAGGAGATCCTTCCACCTCAGCCTCCAAGTAGCTGGACTACAGGTATGTACCGCTGACCCCAGTTACATGTTTTATTTTGGACTGCAAACATCCAGGAGTGACGCTGCTGGGTTGTATATGTTTAACTTTAAAGAATTTGCTTATTTTCCAAAGTTGTTCTGCCATTTTATATTCTCACGAGCAGTGAATGACAATCTAGTTCCTCCACATCCTTTCAACACTTTATATGATCAGTCCTTTTAAATTTAGTAATTCTAGTGAACATAACTGTATCTCATGATTTTAATTCATATTTTCTTTCTTTTTCTTCTTTTTTTTTTTTTGGAGTTGGAGTCTCACTCTGTCGCCCAGGCTGGAGTGCAGTGGCACAATCATAGTTACCACAGCCTCAACCTACTGGGCTCCAGTGATCCTTCCATCTCAGCCTCCCAAGTAGCTGGGACTACAGGCATGTGCCACCACACCTGGCTAATTTTTTTATTTATCGTAGAGATGAAAACTCACCATGTTGCCCAGACTGGTCTCAAACTCCTGGACTCAGGCAATCTTCTCACCTCAGCCTCACAAAGTGCTGGGATTACAAGTGTGAGTCACAATACTCAGCCACATTTTCTTGATAACTATAATATTGAGTATCTTTTCAAGTGTTTATTGGCCATTCATGTATTTTCTTTTTTAGTGATACATCTGGCCAAATCGTGTGCCGGCTATTTTCTTTTTTTTTTTTTTTGAGTTGGAGTCCTCACTCCATCACCTAGGCTGGAGTACAGTAGCACGCTCATGGCCACCCCAGCGTTGACCTGCTGGACTCCAGCAATCCTTTCGCCTCAGCCTTCCAAGTAGCCAGAACTATAGGTGTGTGCTACCACGCCCGGCTAATTTTTTTGATTTATTGTGGAGATGAGGTCTCACCAAGTTGCCCAGGCTGGTCTTGAAGCCCTGGGTTCAGGCAATCCTCTCGCCTCAGCCTCTCAAAGTGCTGGGATTGCAGGCTTGAGCCACCATGCCCAGCTACCAGCTATTTTTAAAATCACCTTTTTTTAAGTCTATGTTCTTTTTTTTTTTTTTTTGAGTTGGAGTCTTACTCTGTCACCCAGACTGGAGTGCAGTGGCCACTCCTGGCCACCACAGCCTAGACCTGCTGGGCTCCGGCGACCCTTTCGCCTCAGCCTTCCAAATAGCTGGAACTACAGGCACGTGCTACCACGCCCGGCTCATTTTGATTTATTGTACAGATGAAGTCTCACCAAGTTGCCCAGGTGGGTCTCGAACCCGTGGTCTCAGGCAATCCACACACCTCAGCCAAGTCTATCTTCTTATCACTAAGCTATAAGACATCCATATATATTCCATATATATTCTGGCTGGGTGCAGAGGCTCACACCTGTAACCCTAACACTTTGGGAGGTCGAGGTAGGATGACTGCTTGAGGCCTGGAGTTCAAGGTTACACTGAGTTAAGATTGCATCACAGCACTGCAGCCTGGGTGACAGACTATCTCAAAAAAAAAAGTTATATATACATAAAGTCCTCTATATGTTTTGCAAATTTTTCTCCAAGCTATGGAGAAAATGTTTTTCAAATTTTTAACAGGGCTTTCTAAACAATAAAAGTTTTTAATTTGGATGAAGTCCCTTTAATCAACTTTTTCTTTTATGGTTCATATTTTTTGTGTCCTAGGTAATAAATCTTTGCCTAAGTCAAGATCACAAAGATTTCCATCTGTATCTTCTTAAACTTTTATAGTTTTAGCATTTACTTACATTTATGTCTAAGATCCATTTTGATCCATTAACTATTATGATCACTATCAATTCTCCAAAAATCGATCTATACATTCAATGCAGTCCCAGTCAAAAATCCCAGCAGTTCTTTGGTAGACACTGCCAAACTGATACTAAAATCTATATGGAAATATAAAGGACCTAGAAAAGCCAAAACAATTTTGGAAGAGAAGAACAAAGTTTGAAGACTGAAGGCTTCTACAAAGTTGAAGTTACCTGATTTCAAGATTTACTACAAAGCCACAATAACTAAGAGTGTGGTATTGGTATATGGATAGACAAATCTGTGAACTAGAATAAAGAGTCCAGAAATAGACCTACACATATATAGTTAACTGATTTCTAACAAAGGCACTAGGTAATTCACTGGGGGAAAGGACAGTCTTTTCAACAAACTCAACCCTCTGGTCACACCACATACAAAAACTAACTCACAATGAATCACTCACAGTCATAAATATGAAAGACCATTCTCACTCTTAAATGTTTCCTTCCCTCTCACCCATCACCCTTTCCCCACTACCAATCAAAGCAACATCAGACCCTGGAGAATCAGAAATTTTGCAGCTGACTTTCAACCTTATTGGATTTATTTTTCTCCTGAAAACCACTTCATTTAACAAATGAAAACTGAAAAGAGAGATCAAGAAATCCCTGTCTGAGGGAACAAGCTGCCTGGTTTCCCAAAGAATCCCACAAGTATTCCGTCTCTAGTGGACTTACCTTGCCCTTCCGGAGGCGTCGCACTGTGTCACTGGGGCTCCAGTCATTGCTGTAATCCTGGAATATTAGCAACACATGAATCCCAGTAAGTTAAGGCATCAGAGTTATCAGTGTAACAGTTCCTCACCTCAAACTTATAGTCTTAGTCTCTAAGCGGGGAGATATCTTGTGGGGGGGAAGGGTTGAGAGAAAACAAAGAATTGGGATGGTCTTGTTTTGAGTTCCCAAAGGAACTAGAGCAGGGGCAATATACACAGGAGGAGACGGATCAAAGAGGGATGAATCAATGGACAAAACCATGAGTCCTATGCCTACTGGTTCAGGATTTTAACCTCTAGATGCAGTTAGCTTCAGAATTCTATTAATTAATGCCTAGCAAAGAGGGAGACACTTGAGACATGTTTCTTTTCTGACCTTAGAACATGGTTTCTTTCTTGTGAATCAATTTGCTTTGTGTAAGTTTCATGGGAATAGGAACTCCATCAAGCTTCTAGACTGCTGTGATGAACACTGGGTTTCCAAGTACAGCCTTCAAGCAGCAGTATAATGAATAGCAAAGCATGGCAAGACTGAGTCATTAAGTAGAGATTTTAAGTCCAAGTTCAACCCTTTTCTAGCTGTGAGATCCCAGGTAAGTCTTAATGTTTAGAAACCCAGTTTCTAACTCAGCACAAAGAGTTGGGAAAAATCAAGCAAGGAAGCTTGTGTCAAGTGTCAAATGTCAACTGCGTGAAGTATCATATCAGTGTATGCTGTCACTCACCCTATACTCCCCCTTGGGTCTCCCCAGCTCTGGAGCATAGCTTTTGGCAGGTGCATCTGACAAAGCTGAAAGAAAACAGGCAGCTGGTTCAGAAGGGCACCAAGAGTCCCGTCACTCCTCTCTTGTTTCCTTCCCACTTACACTATTTTTTTACTTGTAGGCTCCCAAGGTGTCTGTATAGCCAGAAGTGATTTCTATTCTTCCCCGAAGACAGCATCTCTATAAGTCACCCTTTCCCCTGTAGCCAGAATAATTTCTGCCTCCTTACTCAATATATAACAACTTCTCTAACAAAGACAGTAGATTCACAAGCAAGTTCTCCTACTCATCTAACCGTCAGCTGTCCCCATGACTCCTCAGATTGTACTCCAGATCAGTAATATCTTCCAGTAATCAAAAGAAGAGGGCCCAATGCCTACCATCAGAAAGGGACTGGAAACTTCCAGGTCTAGTTCTACCTACAGGTAAAGAACACAAGAAAGAAGAGGTCAACAGTTCAAGCCAGAGCTGTCCAGACTTGCTTAAGGACACAGTGTGCCTAGAACCTTATTATGCAATATGGGAACTTAAGGCTTAAAAAAGTTCATTCGACTTCTGAAATCTGAGATGTCACTGAAAAAGGGGGAACAAAACATTTTTAGTTATGGTGAAATACACACAACATAAGATTTACAATTTTAACCATTTTTAAGTGGCATTAAGCACATTCACATTGTATAGCCATCACCACTACCCATTTTGAGAACTTTTTCACCAGCCCAAACTGAGACTCTGCGCCCGTTAAACAATAACTCTCCCTGCCTTCACTCCCCAGCACTTGGTGACCCCATTTCATTTCTATCTCTATGAATCTGACTATTCTAGGTACTTTATGTTAATAGAGCAATATCTTAGTCCTTTTGCCCCTTTCTCATTTGATTTAACGTAATGTCTTCAAGTTTCATCCATGTTGTAGAATGTATAAAAATTTCTTTTTAAATCTAGATAATAATCCATTTCGTGTGTGTGTGTGTGTGTGTGTGTGTGTGTGTGTTTGTGTGTGTGTGTGTGTGTGTGTGTGTGTGTGTGTGTTGGATGCTTATTCTGTTGCCCAGGCTGGAGTGTGGTGGCACAACCATGGCTCACCGCTGCCTCGATCTCCTGGGCTCAGGCAATTCTTCCACCACAGTCTCCCGAGTAGCTGGGACCACAGGTACACGCCACCATGTCCGGCTAATTTTTTTCTTTTTCTTTTTTTTGGTAGAGATGAGATCTCTCTCTGTTGCCCAGGTAGGCTGGTTTCAAATTCCTGGACTCCAGGAGTCCTACTACCTCAGCCTTCCAAAGTGCTGTAATTACAAGTATGAGCCACTGTTCCTGGCCTCCAGTGCACGTAGATACCACATTTTGCTTATCCGCTCATCCATCAATGAACATTTGGGTTCTTTCCATCTTTTGGCTATTGTGAATAATGCTGAACACTGGAGTACAAACACCTGCTTAAGTTTCTGCTTTCAATTTTTTTGGCATACACCTTGAAGTGAAACTGCTGGATCATATGGTAATACTATGTTTCATTTTTTTCTTGTCTTTTTGTCTGTCTTTGTATTTAATTTTTTTGAGGAACTGCCATATCATCTTCCATAGTGGCTGCACCATTTTACAGTCTCACCAGAAATGTGCAAACAGTAGGGAGAAATTTTGATCTAGCAAGATTTCTTCGATACAGGTCACATGATTAATGTCAATTTTGCTCATCATGTTCTAGAACTCTAGTCCAGTTTCTCTGACTTTCTCTCAATTCTCCCACACCTAATTCTCAGCTGCCAGTTCCAATGTTAACTCTTTATCCTCTAATAATCTTTTACTTCCAGAGTAAATGAAAATTATAGCCTGAGCATTCTTTTTAAAAAAAAAAAAAAGGAGGACTTCCTTGTCCCTTTAACCATCACTCTTTACCTTTAAAAAAGCTGCTCAAGGAGTAGGTAGAAGTAGGTTTGGGTAGCTGTGCATAGGAGGAGAAACTGTTTCGGTTCTTTAGCTGTTCACGCCCTTCATGGGTGGACCCACTATTACCAGCAGTCTCTTTGATGGACCAAGAGATACCTGCGAGACAGTAAGAACTAAATCAGTAATGCTCATCCACAGTAAATCCTTGACATCCAATATTCAGCAAACTCTAAAAGCTTTTAACCAGAAGTCCTGGTCCCTTGGTTCACATGGGGAAGGGAGAAAAGACAGAATCAAACAGACTAATCAACAGAAAAACTGGGCAAAAGACATAAATAAGTAGATCACTGAAAAGAGAATTCAAATGGCTTTTAAACATATGAAAAGATGCTCGACCTCTTTTTTTTTTTTTTTTTTAGAGATGGTTCTTGCCATGTTGCATAACTAGAGTGTACAGGCTATTCACAGGTGCGATGGCTCACTGTGGCCTTGAACTCCTGGGCTCAAGCGATTCTCCTGCCTCAGTCTCTGGAGTAGCTGGAACTACAGGTGCATGCCACCTCAGACAGCTTTACTCTTAGCGTGTTACATATTTAAAATACATTGAGAAACCACTAGTCTCCTATGAGCTGAGGAAAGATTCAAAGCTTGATAATACCCTGTGTTGGCAAGGCCACAGAAAACAGAAACCCTCCTACACTGCTGGTGAGACACAAGTTGGCACAACTCCTGTGGAGGATAATTTGGCAATATCTCTCCAATATAGATGCAAATATACTGTGCCAGTAACCCCACTCCAAGAACAGATCTTCATATACTCGTCTATGAGTAAATACAATGTCACTGACAGAAATAGAAGCAACAAAAGATTGGAAACAATCTAAAATTCATCAACAGTGCACTGGCTCAGTAAGTTATGGTGAATCCATATGACTTAATACTGCACTGCTATTTTTTAAAAAGCAAGGTATAAAGTACGCTACCACTTATGTTAAAAAAGAGGGTAAGAATATACATAGTTCTAAGTGTATTTCCCATTGCAAAAAGATGGGAAAATGAATACACAGGAACCAAACCAATAGAGATTAATTTTTGGGAGGGCAGGGACTAAAAAGATTCATAACAGTGTGGAAGAGAAACTTTTCACTATATACCTTTACTTTACTTTATTTATTTATTTTATATGAGGAAGGACCCCCCCAAAACCCAGGATTTATTTATAAAAAATTGTGTATTTATTCTGACATGTTTAAACTTCAGTCACCAACAAAGTACTCTCTGTTTGATGCGATACTCTGTCAAGATGCTTTTCCCACTGCTCAAAACAGTTTTTGAACTTGTCGATTTTGATGCCTTTCAGTGCTTTTGCAGATTTTTGTTTCACCTCTTCCACATCAGCAAGATGTTTCCCTTTGAGGACTTTTTTCATCTGTAGTCCCAGTAACTCAAGGGGCTGAGGCAGGAGGACAACCTGAGGTCAGCCCAGGAGTTCTAGACCAGTCTGGGCAACGCAATGAGATCCCATCTTAACTGCTGGAGACCAGCTCCAGCCAGGTTCAGGGTACCCCAAAGGTGGAGATGGCGTCGGTGATTGGGAGGAAGAAGAAAGAGAGAGAGAGGGGGAGAGGGAGAGAGGGAGAGAGAGAGAGAGAGAGAGAGAGAGAGAGCGAGAGAGCAAGAGAGAGACTGGACTCCAGTCTAGTGCAGAAGCGATGTGTGTACTTTTTTATTTTTAAATCACATTACTGTATTTCCTATTTAAAAAAGCTTTTATTAAAAATGTTTCTTAAAAATCAGATGGACTTTGCAAAGGTGGTAAGTGGTATTTTATGTAGCAGCTGGGCAGCAACTTGGTGGCTAGGAAGTTGGTTCTGTCAACTAGTTATGAGTATCCGAGTCAGTAGTTCCTAAACATAACTACAAATTAGAATCGCCTACAGTGTTTATTAAAAATTGAGACTCTTTCTCCCCACAAGACCAACTGAACAGAATCTCTGGGGTAAAGCCTATGAATCTACAACTTTCATAAGCATGCCCAAATGAAACTATTTTGAAATAGCACTGGCCCTAGGAGCACAGACATAGCAACATGGGAACGACTGCTGTATCTCCCAAGAAGCCTTTTATAAGGCGAACCTTCGTCAGCAACAAGAGCCCTGGATATTATGCCCCTCCTGGGGCCTCCTCTACTTACTTCCCACGGGCTCCCCACTCCAGCTGACTCGCTCCAGGTCATCGTCGTCGTCGTCGTCCACAAAGTCTCGAAGGCTGTTCACAGCCCGCTTGGACTCCTTTAACTGCAGAGGGATGTAAGGCAGGGAGCTCAGGCAACCCTCACTTCCCACTTCCCTCGCTGACAACCAAGAAGGCTGAAGGCCTGGAACTTGAAGATGTCCCATGCTTTCACCCTCCACAAATTAAAGCTGAGCTTACTAGATATTTGCAGAGAAAAACAAACTGCTTTTTTAGCCAACACTACAGTCCAGTGGTAAAACAGTTATGAAGAATCAAACCACTTTTGAATGCTAATCGTATTCCTGGCAATGACTTGCTGTGTAAACCTGAGTGGATTTATTCACCTCTCCAAAAATGAGTCTATTTTCTTATTCGCAAAATAGACACAATAAAGGCGAACCTTCCAATCTAGCTCATCTTTCAAAAATAATAAATTAGATCATGTGAAAAAAACACTTCAGTTTCTTGGAGAGAAAAAGCTTCATCTGAAGAAAGTAAAGGACTGGGTGAAGTGCCTGTCATCCCAGCACTTTGGGAGGCTGAGATAGGAGAATCACTTGAGCCCAGGAGTTCAAGACCAGCCTGGGCAACTTAGCAAGACCTTACCTCTACAAAAATCAAAAAAGTAGCCAGATGTGGTGGCATGGTGGCACATGCCAGTAGTTCCAGTTATTCGGGAAGCTGAGGCTGGAGGATCGCCCTGAGTCCAGGTGGTCAAGGCTCTATTGAGCCATAATCATGCCACTTCACTTCATGCACTGCACTCCAGTCAGTAGCAGAGTGAGATCCTAAATTTTTTTTTAAAAATTGGTTTTCACAATCCATGAAGGCTTTTTCTTTTTTCTTTCTTTCTTTTTTTTTTTTTTTTTGAGTCAGAGTCTCACTTTGTCATCCAGGCTACAGTACAGTTGCATAATCATAGTTCATGGCAGTCTTGACCTCCTGGGCTAAGCAATCCTCCTGTCTCAGGCTTCCAAGTAACTGGGACTATCGGCATGCATCACCCTGCCTGGCTAATTTTTTTATTTTTTATTTTGTAGAGACGAGGTTTTGCTATGTTGCCCAGGCTGGTCTTGAACTCCTGGGCTCAAGCAAGCCTCTCGCCCAATCTCCCAAAGTGCTGGGATTACAGGCATAAGCCACCTTATCTGGCCTCATGAAAGCTTCTCTAAAGATCTGACCCAAAACATGTTTGAGCCTAATGGCTACACAGTCAAAAGCCAGGTTACCAAGGATGCACGGAGAAGGAATTTGAGAGTGGCACCATGGAGGAGGGTGTAACCTTCAGCAATTGTTTGTGGAAACCCACCTGTGAGAGCTCATCATCTTCATCATCAAAGGTGAAGGCCTTGAACTTGGAGCTATTCCAGTATTCCTCCTCATCTCCCTTTGTCCGATTCATCTGGAGTGAGAGGAAGACATATATAGTCCCTTTCTGGGTCTCCTCCAAAGGAGTTCCAAAAGCTTTCTTTAGGCTCCTTCACTACTAAGGGCTCCCCAAAATGAGGTATGTGGAAAGGAATCTGGTAAAACAAATATTGAGTCTTCCACATCACATCGGATACTTGGGTCTCCAACTGATCAAATAACATTTTGGACCCTCTAACTACTGAGACATAGTCCTTCATCCCACGGCATCTACTTTTGTTCAAGGTACTCTCTCAGGTGTTATAAGGGACAGAAAAAGGTGCCAGACACGGTCCTGTTCCTGAAGGAGGTGGCATACAATAGAGCTGAGGCATTCAGCACAGGAATATAGAAAGATAATAGTACAAGGCAAGCAAACGTTATCAGAATCCATTACAATCTCAGCTGACTACACAATGAAAATCAATCAAAACATGCAATACACAAAACAGGCCAAGCACAGTGGTTCATGTCTCGAATCCCAGCATTTGGGAGCCTGAGGCAAGAGGACTGCTTGAGTCCAGGAGTTCAGAACAACACAATGAGACCTTGTCTCTACAAAAAGTAAAAAAAATTAGCTAGGCACGGTGGCACGTACCTGTAGTCCTAGCTACTCAGGAGGTTGAGGAGGATGGATCCCTTCAGCCCAGAAGATCAAGGGGGGCAGTGAGCCGTGATCATGCCACTGTACTTCAGTCGGGGCAACAAAGTGAGACCTCGACTCAAAAAATTAAAAAATGCACAAAACGAAAAATTGCATCCATGTATTCAACAAGTATCTATTCAGTGCCATCTCTGAGATACTGTTCTAGGCTCTGAGAATACTATAGTGAATAAAACTGATAAATATCCTGCTTTCATATATAATTTTTAAATGCCTGAAGGAATGGAAAGCAAAGCAATTAAAAGAGGCAGAATAATCTTGCCTGTCTCTTCAAATCATGATTATTTTATTAACAGCTTTGGCCAAAATCTGTGAAATGAGGGTATGGTCCAGAAAAGAAAGCCTAAGACCGCAGTCCCTCTTATATCTACTTAAAATAACAAGTTTTGCCCTAGAATTACGAACTAAACTATCAATGCCAACTGTCTTAGAGTGAAAACTATGATTCACACCAAGGACTAGGTATAAAACTCCCACAGCATAAAAAATAACTCCAAAGGCAAACGGTGTCAAATTCTGAATGGCCAATTATTTTCCTTTTACTTCAGCAGCACCCTTATCAATGAAAGCTTGAGAAAAGAAACATCATGGTGGCCTCACTGAGGTTTCTGATGGCCGTTGATATACTCTACTGTCATTTCCTGTTTCCAACTCAGGGGACAGAAGGATGGCAAAAACATGGTGGGAACTTTCTACTATCTGGTCCTTTCCCATGGCAGACATCACTAATTGACTTCTACCAAAACTAGATGTTGCTTTAAAATCCTTTTCTGGATTTTAGGGCATCAAAACCAAATAAAAGAGCTGGCAGACAATGAAATCATCCCACAGAGGTACTGTAGTCAAGCAGCCTTGAGTTCAAATCTTCCTTTCTCTAATTTTGAGCAATCTGGAGAAAAGAATTTACTTCTCTGCCTTGGAGAAAATTATTTCCTGCCTCACAGTGTTATAGTGAAGAAGAAATAGTCTCAGGAACACCTATAAAAGTGCCTAGTGGAAAGTAAATATAAATGTTAGTTTCCCTTAGTAGTGAATACCATACTGATGTCTTTCTGTCTTGGCTTTCTCATCTGTAAAATGGGCAGAACAAATTACCTACCTTAGAGAATTGTTAAGAGGAGTAAACCAGCTAATACATGCAAAGTGCTTAGTGCCTGATTCAAAAATTGATGCTCAATATTCACTTTTATTACTAATATGCCATCATGGTACCTTGGTGAAAGCTAAAAAGAAAATATGTTTAAGCAAGCCTGAAGATTAAAAAAGCTAACTTAATACAAAACTTCTGAGTGGCCACAAACGACGAAACTGTGTATAGAGCACACAAATGTCTCTGGCACACATTCCAGTCCATAAAACACTTCATCCATCATTTGATTCCCAGAACAACCCTGTAAGGGATGCCTGACAGACTCCAGTTCCATTTCACTCATGAGGAAAGTGAGACCCAAGTATCAAAGCCACCTTGTTGGTTGCTCCTATTCCAAACTATATTCCAGGATTTCCACCTCCTAGGCCATTTCCAAACTTTGGGATGGTCCCTCTAGCTACCTATTTTTCACTCTTGGGAAAACTGTAGATCATACCTTCACTACAGTAAATCTACAGATACACAGAATGTGCCCAACAAACCCAGTAATCTGTCAGAGGATTTCTGAAATCTCTTTTTAACCATGCAAAGGCTGTGGATAGCTGACACCAATTTGCAATTCTAACGCCAAATGAGAAGCTGGATTTACATGGCAAGTACAGGTAATAACTTGACAGTTCTAGAAGTTTTAAAGCAATCAGGCACAATCTTAAGAGTGACTGAGAAAGGTGCTTCGACATGATTTAAAATACGGAGCTGTTAGCCGGGCTCGGTGGCTCAGCCTGTAATCCCGCGCCTTTGGGAGGCTGAGGTGAGTGGATTGCCTGACTCCGCGGATTCGAGACCCACCTGGGCAACTTGGCGAGACCGCATCTCTACAACAAATCAAAAAAATTAGCAGGGCCTGGAGCCCGGCAGGTCGAGGCTGTGGTGGCCGGGAACGTGCCACTGCCCTTCAGCCTGGGCGACAGAGTGAGACTCCTACTCAAAAACACAATAAAATAAAATACGGAGCTGTGCCTGGTCATCTCCGCTTACTGAGCCCACAAGGCGGGATGACAGGTCCGAGGGGAGAAAAGGAATATGACGTAGGAGAACAGAGGATCAACAAAAACACCACAACCAAGACGCTTTCTGCCCCAGAACGCTCCAGAAACTGGCTACTGAGAAGTCAGGCTCGGGTTCAAGCATCGTCTTCCGAGCCAGGCAGACACAGGTGGAGCTCATGAACTGGGACCAGAGACCGCGAGTCGAGCCGACTCCGAACGCCTAGGGCGCCACGGATCCGCCGCAGTCGCCACAGCCCGCAGGGGTCCGAGCCAAATGTCTGCTCCTGAGCCAACTCTCGGGGCTCTCCTGCCGCCCCAACCCCGTTCTCCAGCGCCCGAGGGCCGCCCCGACTGCCAGAAAAGCATCCGGCATCGGGCGAAGGAGGGGACTTAGAGGTGCCTCAGAGAAGAAGGGGAAGGGACCGAGATGCCTCCAACACTGGGACGGTGGCCGGACTCAGCCAGATACGCGGCCCAAGGGTCGTAGGACACCCTCACCTCTTCCACACCAGGCCCTCCCTCTCAGGACAGCGCCAGCATCCGCCGCCGCTGGACCAGTCTTTCTAGACAAGCTGTGCAGCTCAGAGAAGGGGCGGAAGGGGATATTCGAGGGGCGGAGAGACCGCGGTAAAGAAAGGGGCCGCGTGGCATGATGGGAGTTGTAGTTTCCTCGGCCTTGGCTGTCAGGCGCTATTCCAACGAGTCACGGAATTTTTTTGACTACAGCCCCCAGAAGCCCAGCGCCTCGCTCTAGGTCATTTCCTTTACGGTTAGCGCGACCTTCCGCGGTTATCCTGCGGGTCACTTAACAAGACTACAACTCCCATGAGGCTCAGCAGGGCCAATTTAAATTCCAAGGAAACAATGAAATGTGTTTGTTTCCCTACTGGTGAGCAATGGACGTATGAGGGGCTGGATTTCGGACCTCTCTGGGGCTAACCAGAGGGAGATAGAAAGAAGGGGCGGAACCTACGGTGCAGAGCGTTGGAACGGAAGTAGCCAGTGGGAGTGGGGAGGAGCCGGAAGTTAAGGCGGGGAGGGGGGGTGAGGGTGGAGGGAAAAGCAAGCCCGAAGGTGCTTGCGGCCGCTTCTAGTAGTTTCCAGGCGCTGCCGGGTGGCTGGCACCAAGCGGTCCTGAGGTTGTGACTGCGGCTGCTCGGGAGCTGGTGGCGGCGTGATAGGAGAGCCGATGGCCAAGTGGGGCGAGGGCGACCCACGCTGGATCGTGGAGGAGCGGGCGGACGCCACCAACGTCAACAACTGGCACTGGTGAGGGCCAGCAAGCAGGCCTCGAGAGCGCCACTGTCGGGGCTCCTGGAATCTCGGCCGGGACAGGGCTGGGGCTGAGGCAGCCCTGCCGGGAAATGGGCGTGGGCGCTTCCGATGCCGGGGCTCCGTAGCCCCCGACCCCTCTACCCCCCGGCCAGCGTCCCAGTGCTGGAGGCGAGGGGTCGACACGGAGGGCTGCGCCCCGCAGGAGGGTTTTCAGAGAGACAGAGGATCATGCATTGGCTGCAGCATCCCGCCCGAGCTGGAGGTGCTTCCTGCACGTGGCCGGAGGAGTCAGTGAGACCCAAACCTCTTCCGATTGTGTTGGGAGGTTGCTGTGGAGGGCATGGGGACGGGTCTGTAATTGCCGTCCTGCGGCCTGCGGTGACATTGAAAGACAGTCGTTGGGACCGCTGCCTCAGTCCTGCGGGAGAAGGCTTGAAACGTGTTCTGCAGGTGCTCAGAGCTCAGTGACACTGAAGACACGGTGGCCTCTCACCCGGAACTGTTAGTCGGCTGTGTTGACTCCAGGTTGCCAGGCAATCGTGGCTTTATAACCTGACCATCCTTAAAAGCCTGCCCTCCTTCACGAGGTCTTCCGGAAGTAACGTCAGCTGAACTTTGTTCATATTGTTTGTGCTGTAAATTTTTACTTTGTTGCAGTTCTTTTTGCCGTTATTTTCTCTGATCGTTAATAAGTCGGAAGACACCTAGCGATTTTTCTTCTCTACCTCAGCCTGTCTCCTCTCCGCTTAACATGCACAGAATACTTGACCTAATATTTGTCTTGTTTGTTTTGAAGCCCTGGACTTAACTGTTTTTGTGGCCATTTAGGGAGCGTGGAATGTGTAGAAAGTTTATAGCACAGGTCTGAACCTGATAGGTCAGCACCGCTAATGAGGTCAAGGTTATTGGCGTATTCTTTAATGGGCATTTTAGCCAAGTACTGGGTTCCGTGGTCCAGTCTGTTCTTGACCCCAGCAATATGAGCAGTTTTCCGCTTGGTCAAATGGGGGCGCCATGTTAAAGGGGCAAATGGTCCCCAGCACCATCATGCTGAGGCAAGAAAGCGTAATTTTCCACTTAGTTGATACCGGTCCCTACATCAGTTGTTTTTGTTGACAGTATGAGACGGGACCCAAAAAACCCGGAATTTATAAGTACTCTTCATTGGATGCATACACCTATCAAGATGCTTTTCCCACTGCTCGAAACAGTTTTTGAACTTGTCAATTTTGATGCTTTTTAGTGTTTCTGCCGTTTTTTTGTTTCATGTCTTCCACGTTGGTAGGGAAACAAAAGTCACTCGGGATGAGATAGAGTGGATAGAGAGGGTAGGGACTGGGGTCATTGTCATTTTGGGCCAGAAACTACTGAACATTCAGTGCCTCGTGGGCAGATGCATTGTCATGGTAGAATAACCAGTCGCCTGTTTGCCACAACTCAGGACATTCCTCACAAATCATGACACAATCTTCTCAGAACTTCCAGATAAAAACTTTAGTTGACTGTTTGATCCAGAGGAACAAATTTCAAGTGTGTTACAAGGGGCCCACCCTCCAAAAGATAATTCTGGTGTTTTATAGAGGGGTCTCCCCTTATGTGACCCCTTGTCTTTGTAAAAGAGGGTGACATGTTTGTGGACACACAGGAGGGGGACTGAGAGTGTCTGTTCTTTGCAAGCTATTTATCAGGCTTCTTTTAACCTTGCTTTCTCTGGCATGAAGCAGTGTGTCCTCCATTTGACTGCTGGTCATAGCTTGGTTTCCATTTTGCAGGACAGAGAGGGATGCATCAAACTGGTCCACGGATAAGCTGAAGACCCTGTTCCTGGCAGTGCGGGTGCAAAATGAGGAAGGCAGTTGTGAGGTGACAGAAGTGAGTAAGCTTGATGGAGAGGCGTCCATCAACAATCGCAAAGGCAAACTTATCTTCTTCTATGAGTGGAGCATCAAACTGAACTGGACAGGTAGGTCTAGGTGGGGCTGTCAGGGATGAGATTAACTGGCTGCAGTTGAGTGTTAAGCAGCTGCAGAGCACGCTGGGAGTTAATGAACTTTTGAAGGGAGAAGACAGTGCTTTGGAGTCCTGGTTAAAGCAGTATTGGGTGCTGATATTTCTTTGCTGCAGTGAATGGAAATCTGAAATGGATTTCCTCTCTGTGAAGCCCAGGGGTCCCACCACTGCATCTTTAGGCCTTGGTCTGCATTAGGACACATAAGGTGGGTATTTCCTCACACCAGCTATGTCTGTCTTGTGAATGATTTAAAAGGGGAAGGGAGTTTTTTTAGTCTAGGTCTTCTTTTTTTTTTTTTTAACTCTCTATAATGTTAATCTAACAGGTCATACCACTGTGTTAATAAAGCTTGTATGTGACTATATTTGGGGACTGTTGTATCTACCTTTGGTTTAATGTCCCTTCTGTATGACATTAGGAAGGAGTTGGGGGTCATATGTATGCCTCCCTGGGATGGTCCCAACTGCTGGGAGGCTGGATGTGAAAGGCCCTAAAGCTAAGAGAGCACAAGGAAGCTGCCGTCTGTGTCTGGGTGAAGCGTTATGTGCGTTTATGTTTGATAAACATTTCTCAAGTGACAGTCATAAAGAGGGGTGAAGGTAGACCCCTCTGTAAGTTTTGCAAATTTGTTTTTGGAAAGTTCCCCTGAGGTATAATGGTCTGGAAGGAATTCTTGGTTTCATCTTGCCATATCCTTTTTTATAGATTGAGAAACTGAGGCGTAGAGAGATGAAGGTAAACTTTAGAAAAAAGTTCTGCTCTAGGGCAGTGTGAGTGTTTCTAGACATCACTGTACTGTGCAAAACTGCTCAACCGAAACACAAGGCTTGTAGGGAGGATGAGGGTAGGGACCCAGTACACAAAAGCATCATTAGCAACACATTTTTAAAAATAACAGGCAGAGCTAAAGATTGGTAGCACAGTTTTACACACGTTAGATGGTAAGAAATAGAGAAATACTGCAATAAATATGGTGCTGTATCATGAGAAGGCCCGGAGTTTACTTGTGGAAGTGGGCATCAGGAGGGTTACAGCTTGAGGGCTGCTGTGGAGCGGTGGCAGAAGGGTTATCTGGTCGGAAGGGACATCACAGCACCAGGTGTGGATGAGTGCAGCTTGCAGCACATGGTGGACTGAGGGCCCTGGCAGCTAGTTGTTTGAGATGTGTGTGCTTCTGTGTATTCCTGTGTAGCTGGGTCTGGTTTTCTAGATGTTTCACACGGATAGAGTTACATATAAGCAAACGTGAAATTTCCATTATTAAGTTATTCCCTGATATTTCAGCTGCATTGGAATAAGTTTATATTTTTAAAACTAGTGTTCTAGCAGAACTATTGGCTATTGACCCAAGTCCTTCCTGGTAGAATTCTTGTTAGTAACAAATCTGTGTAGCTCTTGGGCTCTGGTAACCTGGTGAGGAAAAACATTTCCTGTGACGCGGTGGGGTTGGTTACCTCTGGCATGTGGCGTGCTCTCAGAGTAAGGGAGGGGGTCAACTTTGCTGGCCAAGAGAAGCGTAAGTGGGGTAGCAGGGAGGACCCACAGCAGAGACCTTTCCTGCATAGGAGGAGACTGATGGCATTGCATTGCTTTTGACAGGGACTTCCAAGTCAGGAGTGCAATACAAGGGACACGTGGAGATCCCCAACCTGTCTGATGAAAACAACGTGGACGAAGTGGAGGTTTGTGCTTCCTCACTTCTCATCTGAGTCCTCCATGTCCTCTCATTCTCAGATGAGAACAATGACCTGCCAGTCAAGGTTAATAGCCCTGCCTTGGTCCAAGCATTCAGAATCCCAGTCTGCAGATGATTTTCTAGGTATATGGTGTCAATGGATGCTTCCAGAGCAACTTGCACTTTTTCGATTTCTTTGCTGTGTCTAGCAACATGGGTTCTAACGTTAGCCGCTTGGCATAGAGGACTCAAGAAGGAACACGAATGGGGATTTTTACGAATGCCCCAACCCTCACACGTTTCCTTTGGAAATGTCAGCAGTTGTCTGGTTGCTCAGCACCCACATTCCGTAATGAGGTGCCCCTCGGGTTATTTACCACCTACTTCTGATCTTTCACTCAGATTAGTGTGAGCCTTGCCAAAGATGAGCCTGACACAAATCTCGTGGCCTTAATGAAGGAAGAAGGGGTGAAACTTCTAAGAGAAGCCATGGGAATTTACATCAGCACCCTCAAAACAGGTATCCCTTGAGTAGTTCTGTATGCCTTGAGGAGGTAGTTTTCCACCTGTCAGACTCTGACTTGGGCTTGACAGTCCTCTCCTCGGCAAGTGGGTGAAGATCTTGTGGGCGGGGGCTTGTTTCATCTTAAAGTCAGTCTATAAGTTCTGAGTAAGGGAAAGATCTGGAGCTGCGTTGTCTAACGTGTTGGCTGTTGAGCACTGGAAATGTGGCTAGGCCAAACCAAGATGTGCTGTGAGTACAGAACACACCGTGGACTTGGAAGACTTGTTACGAAGCATTGTGTTGGTATAATGTAAACTGTCTCAAAAATCAATAACTTGCTGAAGTGATAGTTTGGGTATATTAGGCTAAATATACTGTTAAGATTAATTTCAGCTGGGCTTGGTGGCTCAGCCTGTAATCCCGTGCCTTGGGAGGCTGAGGTGAGTGGATTGACTGAGCCCGCGGGTTCGAGACCCGCCTGGGCAACTTGGCGAGACCTCATCTCTACAATAAATCAAAAAATTAGCTGGGTGTGGTAGCGCGCACCTGTAGTTCCAGCTACTTGGAAGGCTGAGGAGGAAGGATCGCCGGAGCCCAGCAGGTCGAGGCTGCGGTGGCCGGGAGCGGCCACTGCACTCCAGTCTGGGCAACAGAGTGAGACTCCAACTCAAAAAAAAAAAAAAAAGATTAATTTCATCTGTTTCATTAACATTTTATGGCTACTAGAACATTTAAAACTATCTTTAGGCTCACATGATGTTTCTATTGGACAGCGCTGATCTAAAGACTTGGTATCCATAGACTCGTTACTTGACTAAGTCCTGGCCTACCCTTGATATACATGCTTCAGGGATGCTTAGGTGGTTAGACTAGAGGTCACCTCAGTTCTTCCCTGGGGTTCCATTTCTGCCATTTTGTTCTGATCTTCATGTTGGGGGTACATAAAATGACCATCAAGGGGAACCATCCAAGCAGGTGATGCCTTTTTTAGGGAAACCAGTGCTCCAGTGCTGTGACCAGGTATGGCTGTTCCACAGAGGTGAGGCAGCGTAGAGGACAGGCACTGAACATGCTTAGATGCTGGGTCGTCACCCACTTGTGAACCCATTGAAGTGCCATTTCATTCACTGGCTGTCTTTCATAGTTGACCTCCTGTGCACTTAACAAGTTGTGATACTTTTAATTGTTGGGGATTAAGCTTTTTAAAATAATCCCAGTGGACATAGTATATTCTGTGGAGTACACACAGATATCTGTCTGACACTGACCAATGGTAAAGATGTAAAACAAACCCTTCTTTCCCGGTCACTCAGCTGGGTTAAGATGGCTACTTGTCAGGCTGTAAGGGAGCCCCGCATCCAGCTTCTAAGAAGTAACTTCTGTGAGCTGCGATTTTCTCTTTTCAGAGTTCACCCAGGGCATGATCTTACCTACAGTGAATGGAGAGTCAGTGGACCCAGCAGGGCAGCCGGCACTCAAGACCGAGGAACGCAAGGTAAGCGGAATCCCCACAGAGGAGCTGAGAGACTGCCTTCCTCTTATTCCACGTGTGGCTCTTTCTCTCTGACCCTGACCTCTAAGCCAAGCAGCCCACGATTTGCTTGAGTTGTATTTCAGAGCTAGGTAGTTACCTGCTCAGCTTTAACTTGGTTTGTATTCATTTATAGCAGGCCTCGGGGACTTCAAAGTCTGACTCTTGAATATGTTTAACACCTACTAGGAGCTTGTGAACAAAAAGGGTGGTCTTTACCTACATAAGTCTTCAGTCATATTTCTACTGGGACCTGGTATTTCATTCTTTAAAATTACAGGTCTCATCAAAGAGTCAAGGGTTAGATCACTGACTTCATCCATTGGGAAATTGATCGCTCTCATCCCAGTTGCAGGCTGTTTGCAGGGCGAGCAAGTGTTTTCGCTAGAGTGGTACTTGATGGTTCAGGCTCAGTGCCTGGTTTAAAGCCCTGCTTCTCTTTTGTCAACACAGTGAAGGGTAGCCATTCTGGAAGTGGGGAGAGAACTGCTGCCAGCTATTTAAGCATAGAAATTGAGAATTACACTGAGCTCTTCAGAAATGTCTAATGATTTGACTGGTCCATTAGCTGATGGGCTTTCAAGTGATACTAAGAGTCTTTCTCTTAGAGTGGTTGCCTTTAATAGGAATTGTTCAAGAAGAGTTCCCCTCGTGACCGATACACCTACACATTCAAATTCCCTTCACATCCCTCCTCCCTTCCCCCCCCCGAAATAAGTAGCCTTGGTGGTAAAAATTCCTGTGAAAATGAGTGGTAGGTGATTAAGGTTGTTCATTACTCAAAACTGATCATTTTTACTGTCATTTCACAGGCCAAACCTGCTCCTTCAAAAACCCAGACCAGACCTGTTGGTGTCAAAATCCCCACTTGTAAGATTAGCCTTCGAGAAACCTTCCTGACGTCAGCAGAAGAGCTCTACAGAGTGTTTACCACCCAGGAGGTCAGTGAGACCTTACCCTCAGGCCTCACGCCATCTGCCATTCCAGGTGGCTTGCGTTGTGGCCACGTCCCCTCAGCAGCGTGCAGAGGAGGCTGTGATGCCTGGAACATTGAGGTTGTCGTCAAAGTGGATTTTCCTTCCTGCTCTTTTTTCCCTCTTATTTTTTTAAAGGTGAGGTCTCACTGTGTTGCCCAGACAGGACTCAAACTCCTGGGCTCAAGTGATCCTCCTGTTTCAGCCTTCCAAGTAGCTGGGACTGCAGGAGCACACCACCACACCTGCTGTAGTTGCCTGTTGTAGTTTTGGGTGATGTAAGTGGGAACCACTGAATCCTTCTCATTGGAAAAGCAAATGGCCATTCTCGTCACACTGTTGTGCAAGGGAGTCTGGGCTCTTCCTATGTGCAGCTGCCTATGTTGTCTGTTGCTTTGTGGGGCTGGGAGCGTGACTGAGTTCGGCTGTTATCATCGGATAGCAGGGACATTTGGGATACCTGCAAGTTCCCGTATACTTGGGCAACATCTCGAGATCTTGTCTTTTTAAACAAAACTTTAAATACAGCCATAGATTAGGGGGTACTGTGTGGTGGGTGGTGTATACCTGTGTGTTCTGCTCCTGAAACTTTCTCCTGTGATGGTTCTGTCCCTCTTAGAAAAGCAAAAACTGAGAATCAGTTAAATGGAGTAGGTTTTCGAGAAACAGGAAAAGAAGCGTTATCAGCATATTGTACTGTATTTCAGAAAGTTCTGAGTTGATTGCAGCAATGTGTTAGTGACCTGGCTGTGCTGGAGACGGCATTCGAGGCTGACTTAGGACGCCTGCTACCTCAAAGGCCTGACAGGCACAGCCATCATCTCATTCAGATTGAACTTAGTACCTCAGAAGAGACTTGCAGCTGGGTCTCTGCGTCAAACCTTGCTGAGGTTTTCAGAGTACATTTCTAAGGGAGGATACCTGACACTTTAAACCTTGTGTTCTTTAAAAATTTTGTAGGGTATTTATATTACCTATTTTTTATATATATATGAAGACTTTTTGAAGGTGAAGATGGTACCATTGGGTGGTGAACACAGCAGATGACAGGGATGTGACAAATAGAGAACTTCTCAGAGATGAGGCCTTGTTTTTAGAGTTGGCTCATGGAATTCTCATTTAGTTTAGAATTTTCTTTCATAAGCGCTTTCTCGTATCTTTCTTAACCTTATGCTACACAAATAAATAAATAAAGGGAAAAGTGAGTGGGTCCAAAGCAGTGGCATCGTGGGTTCCGAAAGAAGTCCTGAGGTCACACCTGGTCTGCGGTGGTGCCGCACAGAGGGCACCCGGGTCCCGCCCATTGGGCAGCGCGCGTCCTTGGAGAGGAGTCGGAGGTGCGGGCTCGGCTGCATCTGTCCCTGGGTCCTCCTGCGAGCCCTAGGTCTTCTCCTACCTCCTTTTCCCCTACAGCTGGTGCAGGCCTTCACCCGTGCTCCTGCACTGCTGGAAGCAGACAAAGGTGGAAAGTTTCAGATGGTGGACGGCAACGTCTCTGGGGAATTTATCGACTTGGTGAGTGCTGTGGGCCCGGACCCAGCTCGTAGCCTCTTTCTGGTCAGAGGAGTGATGCTCCTCCTTCCCTCAGCTCTGTGGGTAAAACGTCAGCCTTCTGTTTCTCAGAAAAATGTTGTGATTTGGATTCGCTTGCAAGTAGTAGAACTGCACAGACAATAGATACTGTTCAGAGGGTGGATAGTTGATCCTAGCTGGGTTTGCGGGCATTGGGATCTGTGGATAGACGGCACTCTTTGATTGTTTCAGGTCCCCGAGAAGCATATTGCGATGAAATGGAGGTTTAAGTCTTGGCCGGAGGGTAAGTAGGCATATTGGTGTATTGCCATTACCCCCGGAACCTTTTAGTTCTGCCCTAGTCTGAAGCCCAGACGGAAGCCCTGGATCTGAAGCCTCCCCCCTTCCCCCTGCCTTTCCGCAGGGCACTTTGCCACTATCACCTTGACCTTCATGGACAAGAATGGAGAGACTGAGCTGGGGGTGGAAGGCCGCGGCATCCCTGCTCCCGAGGTAGAGCGGACGTGTCAGGGCTGGCAGCGGTACTACTTTGAGGGCATCAAACAGACCTTTGGCTACGGCGCACGCTTATTTTAGGGCCAGCGGGGGCTCCAACCTGCCCAACACCTCGGTCAGGCCCTCTCCTGGCGGGCTTGCGACTCACAGGATTGCACCATCCCAGCCGCTAATGTGGGGCCGGGGCCCCTCCCCTCCACATATACCTTGGGTTTGTGCATGTTTTCTGCTGGGTGGGATCAGAGGGCGATTTCTCTTTTATGTGTACATACGCTAAATAAACGTAATTTAAAAAACATGCACGTCTGGGCCTGTGTTGATTGGATGGCTGGTACTGAGTTCTCCAGAAGGTTTTAAATTCAAACATGGGAGGGAGAGGCCTCATCTTACTCTGGGTACGTGCAGGAAGCGGCCTGAAGGGAGCATCTCACTGCCAAGCGTCCTAAGCAGTCTTCTTTCTTAGTGCAGACTGGCCAAAAGTTTCGTTTTACCCGTAAACGTAGGGAGGGTTGGCGCTCTGGGGTAAAAAGCCCAAACAGACACTGTGCCGCTCCTGCTGGTGGAGGCGGCACCTTGATCTTCCCATGGCCTCACCCTCTCGCAAGGGATGCTCGCCAGGTCCTGGGTTGAGATGTACAAGTAGAAACGGAGGCTGCCAGCCCGTGGCTGCTTCTGCTTATTGAGCAGTTACTAAGTGCCAGGCGCTACACTAAGCGGCTTCCTTGTATTGGTTCATTTCATCCCTGTAACAGCCCTGTGAAGTGGGTACTGTCATCATTTGTTTTATAAGACTTAAACTTTGGATTTCTTCTTTTTTTTTTGTTGGAGTCTCACTCTGTCACCCAGGCTAGAGTGTGGTGGCAGGCTCATGGCCACTCACCACAGCCTTAACCTGGGCTCAAGTGATCCTTCCACCTCAGTCTTCCAAGTAACTGGAATCACAGGTGCATGCCACCACGCCCTGGCTAGTTTTTTGGTTTATTGTAGAGATGAGGTCTTGTTGCCCAGGCTGGTCTCGAACCCTTGGACTCGGGCAATCCTCTCACCTTCCACCTCCCAAAGTGTCAGGATTACAGGCGTGAGCCACTGTGCCTGGCTCAGGTTTCTTCTTTAAAGAATTTTCTTCTTTTAAGAATTTTACATAGATACTTGCTATAGATGAGCCTTGGCTTTTTTTTTTTTTTGAGTTGGAGTCTCACTCTGTCACCCAGACTGGAGTGCAGTGGCCGCTCTCAGCCACCGCAGCCTCGACCTGCTGGGCTTCGGCAATCCTTCCGCCTCAGCCTTCCGAGTAACTGGAACTACAGGCGCGCACTACCACACCCGGCTCATTTTTGACTTATTGTAGAGATGCGGTCTCGCCAATTTGCCCAGGCAGGTCTCGAACCCGCGGGCTGAGGCAATCCACTCGCCTCAGCCTCCCGAAGGCGCAGGATTACAGGCTGAGCCACCGAGCCCAGCTGAGCCTTGGCTTTCTTAAATAATATATCCCAGATCCAGCAATATTAGGCAGAGTTGGGATTTGACAACAAGACTGTAATTGGACCCCTGCTCAGGAAATAAATGTCTTTAGAGTATTTTAAAATACCTGGTAGCATGAAGCAAGTTTGCTGGGCACTGACTATATGCCAAGCGTTGGGGACCTCCTAGTGGGGTCAGACTGCCACACTGCGGGAAGAGGCACCCAGCTGAACAGGGAGAGTCGCTTTTCCAGATGAGACCTGCTCTGACTTCCCACACTTTATGTGAGCTGGGGACTCTGAGCCAGATGCTAGCCCTTGCGCTACAGCTGTCCCCTTCCTCTGTGTTTGGCTGTCAGGGGGTAGTGAGGCCTGCAGGCTGATCCCGCCAACGCACTTGGCCAGAACTTTGTGGTTAAAGCAGAAAATCAGAGTTGTGACCTGTATCACTTAGACCCCCTGACACTGTCTTTGGCTTGAGTTACTCAGGAGAGTACTGAGCTGAGGCAATTCACATCGAATTTGGCATTATACCTGCCTCCCAGGGGGCCAAAGCCACACCTTTTGGTGAAGAGTCTGAACTCTGGCTTGAATCAAACCAACAGGCCTCTCGTAACAGACTCCTGACACCAAGGCTGTTAACAAAGCCTGGTGCCCTCTCACACCCGGCTGGGAAGTTACCAGTTCCAGAATACTCGGAAAAAATCCAAAGTAGAGATTCCCAACACCTTAGCAAAAACCAGGGCCTGGGCTAAGTACCTGTCATGCGACCTGCTCCATCAGGGGCATCCCAGGACTGATGGCCGTTTCCTTTTTCTTCTTCTTCTTTTTTTTTTTTTTTTTTTGAGTTGGAGTCTCACTCTGTCGCCCAGACTGGAGTGCAGTGGCCGCTCCCAGCCACCGCAGCCTCGCCCTGCTGGGCTCCGGCGATCCCTCCGCCTCAGCCTTCCAAGTAGCCCGAACTACAGGCATGCGCTACCACGCCCGGCTCATTTTTATTTATTGTAGAGATGAGGTCTCACCAAGTTGCCCAGGCGGGTCTTGAACCCACGGGCTCAGGCAATCCACTCACCTCAGCCTCCCAAAGGCACGGGATTACAGGCTGAGCCACCGAGCCCGGCTCTGATGGCCGTTTTCAACTCCTAACCACTGTCCTTTGGCTGATAGCGTTTCAGTGAGGCATCTGAGCCTAAAAGGTAGAATGGTGTTGCTAAAAATAAACCGTGGACCTGGCTGGACTGGGGTCTGCATGGTAAATGTTCCACTTTCTAACAAATTGGGCCAATTTCCTGATCTGTAAACTGGGTATAATGGGTCCCTTGTGCGAGCACTCGAGATGACAGATGTGGACGCCCTGGCACGCGGCATCACCTAGCAAATGGTGCCTGTTGATGTGGGACTCAGAAGCCCAAATGTGTTCCCTTAAGCCGCAGTCGATACTTTGAAAAACTGGTGAATTTTCTTAAGCCAGAAAAGTGAGTGGGTCCAAAGCAGTGGCATCGTGGGTTCCGAAAGAAGCCCTGAGATCACCCCTGGTCTGTGGTGGTGCTGCACAGCGGGCACCCGGGCC